GTCCTTGTTTACGTGCGGTTCGTATTTCTTTTTATTTTATCAGTTGCAATCAATAATTATTTAGTTAAAAGAAGAAAATTAATTTTAGTGTTCGGCAGGTATTCGGTGAAATTTGGGTGAGATGGAAATGAACCAAATAATAGTAGTATTCTTTCGTTCTGAACGAAATGAAAATTTTCACTTCTTTCTATTTTCACAGGATTTATTCCTACGTGGTATAGGAAATAACAATGATTTCTGGATATTTCTATATCGGATCGTTCCTTTCTTTGTCGATTCCCTTTATAAATCAGTTTAAGTGAAAATTTTCAGTTCGTTCAGAACAAAAGAATACTACTAATAGTACTATACTAATTACTAATATTCGTATTCGTCCATAAGAGGTTATGTTTTATGTTCAGTGTAGTGGTCGAGAACTATCGATAGCCTATCGATATTTATCGATAGTTTATTTGGGGTAGTAATTTCCTGGGGCGCAGATGGCGTATTTTTATTTTAATTTTTCTAGTTGCCTAACAATTCCGTACAAAATTGTTTTTATAGTTGCCTAAATAGGCCTATTAATTATGTTCTGTCATTGTTCTGTATGTCAAATCAGTTTTCCGTTTCCGGCTTCCTCCTTCTTCTTCAGTTGTGTTTTGCAATTGAACGGAGATGTGCGTTTCGCTGTTTGCTGGTTGTTTGGCTGTGTTTTTTGCAATCTTCATTTTAAAATCGTGATTTTGTATTTTTGAATTTTTTTGAACTTTGTTTTGTGTTTGATTTTTAAGATCTCTATTAAAGGTAAGGTTTAAGTTAAAGGTTTTTGATTTATCTAACAATTTTATTTAATAATCCGAGAAAGCGAGGTGAGGTAACCTAACCAAGTCCAAATGTTCGTGAATTTTATTTTTTAACAATGTAATATTTACAACGCCATATATTTTTACAAAAAAAATTGATCAACTCCATATTTTTGTACATAAACTTCACAATATGATATTACACAATTGTTCAAGTCCATATGTAAAAAATACACATAAATAAAACATTGTTTCTAATGGACGTCACTTTCTCTTGTATTCCAACGATATTTGTTATGTGTTCTTAAATCTGGTACTATAATAAATATTATACTTTTTAATCTGTTGTTTTATTTGTTTGTAAAATGTTTCATGGTATAATTTTCTGTAAATTAAATTAAATTATTTATTGTAGGTTTTTATGCACATAAAATGATATAAGCAAACCATTTAACACTTTACAATAGTTTAACCTGGTTTAACCTTTATATATAAATCCTTGTTTTTTACCATTTGACTTGTTTGCCAACTTAGGACCAATCAGATGACTACACATTATTTTGTAGAAATCTGATTGGCTCTAACTGGCGAACAAGTCAATACGTCTTGCTTAAAAATAAATTGCATCTATTTAAATTTGCCGCCACATTTGTTGCACTTTCCTGGGTGGCTAGATGGCGCCACTTCAATATACAGATTACAGATTTCTTTACAAATTTGAAACCGTTTTGAAACTAAAAATGCATGGGAGTTAGCGTTCTTCTTTGGTGTGTTCTGTGGTTTTATGTTCATTTGTAATTCCGGTTAACCACAGATCGAAACTGGATGGTACGACATCCGAAATTTGAAGTTATCGTGTGAAATAAAAAAAGCCTGTCACATACATCCGAAAGTTCGTTCCAAAATTTGACAGTTTTAACATTTTTCTGCTGCGCTGAATAGAGATTCATGTCATGTTTTATTGAGAAACACTTATAAAAAATAACTTCCTCGCCAAATATCCCAAGAAATTGCCCACTTCCCACTAAACTTGTTTTTAAAACAAATGTTTTAAAAAAGTGAGGTTAAAAACACACGATATATCGTGGCTAAAAGTTAAACAAAATTTAACTTTATACGACGTCGGATGATTAGTTAAAATTATCGGATAAAAATTGTTGTCAAAATATTTCGACCAATAGGAGCACCGTCGGATCGTCGTGTCATCGGATTTCGGATGCATGAGACTCCGGCTTAATTCGGTTAACCACAGATATAATATAAAATACTACTAATTTTTATCTCGATTATTTCGAAAAAGATAATTCGAATTAGTTAGTTTAAATTTACTATCGAATTAGTCGTATTATTTAATTCGAATTTTCCCAACACTACTAGTTAATCATATCACCCGTTGTCCATATGTTAAACGTCTAACAGTCTAATTAGTTATTCTATGTTCTATGGTCTAACCTATCAATGACCGTGAATCGCCCTGTATAATATATATTACATATACAATATTTAATAGCGAAATGTAATGCACATATACAGATATACAGATCATGAAATTGTGTGTGTGTGTGTGTGTAGCAATCACAACCCACAAAAAAGACTAGAGTTTTATTATTTTAAGTGCAAGTTGAGTACATCTGCACTAAGCGTAAACAAAGAGACTAGGTACAGTTTAGGTGCACTGCACGACTACTTTACACACTGAATGAATCGATTCCAATCTTTGTTCGAATACCAGAGAATCAACCGCTGTAAAAATTCCGTGGAAGGTAATTGGTTTCTTTCTCATAAAAAGAACCTTGAATTTTGATACTGGTAACTATAAAATAATTATGCTTTTCTATGTAGGTAAATAATTGAAATAAATAAGCAACTTGTAATATTAATAAAAAAAAACGTACAAATTTTATATTGTTTTACAAGAGGTACTAATAAATCTAATAATTTATGGGCGATTTTTAGCTGATGTGTTAACTCTAGAAGAACTGAAATCAGTGATATAAATACACGTTTTGTTTGAAATTCTAGGCGTTCTCAGTGTTGCAAACTTTCTGAAATATAATTGCCCACGAAAACGGTTAAAATATCTCGTTTTTTCTATAAATTTCCACGATTTCTCAAATCCAATACAGTTTCGTCAACACAATACAGATATCATGCATTTTAAGTGAAAATTCAAACAGTTTCGAGAAAATTTCGAAAATACCAGATCAAAAAATATATTACTATGCATAAAAATTAGATTGTTCTATATCCATTTATTCTCGATCTCTTTCTCTCTAACATACAATGTATGTATCTGTTTTTATTTAAATTTAAGGCTTTTGTTTTAAGCGGGTGAAATTGCACCACTAAACGTTCGTTTGACAAATAGGCGGCAAATCGGTTCGTTTGAAAAGCACCGATTGCCTGATTTGTTAGCAAATTCGAATGTTTCACACTTTGGAATTTCGTGAAACCAGCTGCTTCAACTCAATTGACTGCCCAATCGTTCGTTTGAAAAGCACTGATTGCCTGATTTGTTAGTACATTCGAATGTTTCACACTTTGGAATTTCGTGAAACCAGCTGCTTCAACTCAATTGACTGCCCAATCGTTCGTTTCAAAAGCACTCATTGCCTGATTTGTTAGCAAATTCGAATGTTTCACACTTTGGAATTTCGTGAAACCAGCTGCTTCAACTCAATTGACTGCCCAATCGTTCGTTTCAAAAGCACTGATTGCCTGATTTGTTAGCAAATTCGAATGTTTCACACTTTGGAATTTCGTGAAACCAGCTGCTTCAACTCAATTGACTGCTCAATCGTTCGTTTGAAAAGCACTGATTGCCTGATTTGTTAGCAAATTCGAATGTTTCACACTTTGGAATTTCGTGAAACCAGCTGCTTCAACTCAATTGACTGCTCAATCGTTCGTTTCAAAAGCACTAATTGCCTGATTTGTTAGCAAATTCGAATGTTTCACACTTTGGAATTTCGTGAAATCAGCTGCTTCAACTCTGTTGACTGCAATCGTTCGTTTGGACAGAACTGATTGCCTGATTTGTTAGCAAATTCGAATGTTTCACACTTTGGAATTTCGTGAAACCAGCTGCTTCAACTCAATTGACTGCCCAATCGTTCGTTTCAAAAGCACTCATTGCCTGATTTGTTAGCAAATTCGAATGTTTCACACTTTGGAATTTCGTGAAACCAGCTGCTTCAACTCAATTTACTGCCCAATCGTTCGTTTCAAAAGCACTCATTGCCTGATTTGTTAGCAAATTCGAATGTTTCACACTTTGGAATTTCGTGAAACCAGCTGCTTCAACTCAATTGCCTGCTCAATCGTTCTTTAATACTATCAATACTAGAGATAGCTAAAAAAACATTTAAATAATCAAATGAAAGTTAAAAATCAGATTTAAAATCTGATTAAGTTATTCTAACACTATACATACCAAACAAATAGGCGGAAAAAAATGATAGTTTTTAATAAACAATGCAGACGAATAATTACTACTTTTGTATTTTAGGTTTTTATTTTTTTATGTTGTTTTTAGTTAATGTCTTAATGTCTCCACTTCAGTTATTTTGTGTTGAAATAATATTTTGAAATACAAATAAATCAGCATAAAATGAGTCTTATATTATTTTATATCCCCTTATTTTGTTCTATATCCCTAAAATCGGCTCAATGCACAGCTAATAGATACATTCGTTCTATATCCAAATCTAAAATCGCTAATATTTTTTAAATAAAGCTTCTAAAAGTAAAATACATACCTATTTTTGATAGATTTTTATATTACCTTTAATCTATATGTTTAATAGAACCATTTTGGTATATAGTGTTCACGGATATCCAGTTTAAACTTTAAACCTTGTTTTCTCAGTTTCATCGAAATGGTCTATAGAACAATCTTATTCTAGGGTGACGACATGTAGGTGGTGTCCCATACAAATAGGAGTCATATTGACATCAAAATCAAATTTCTCATATCAAAAAACTCCCAGATACTAATTTTCATCCAAATATTGACGTTACTTCATAAATTATTTGAATAAAATCAAAATAAAAATGAAACTTCTACACCCTGTATCTCCGAAACTGAACATTTTAGGACATCTATTTATACGAACTTTTTTTGCTTATTTTTATCTGCAGAATTTGCTGCCGAAGTTTCACCACCTTGTATATTTTAATCCGTATATTTCGATATACTAAAATTATTTTTTATTTCAGAACCCGCAATATCACAGGAGAAATTCATACGAATGAAGTTCTGAGGGATGAATCGAGCTTTAGAAAAAAATCTTGTTATATAATGCAAAATGACAATCTTCAGCCTTTACTCACAGTTCAAGAAGCTATGGCAGTAGCTGCTAGTCTTAAATTGGCATCGAATAATAATAGTGAAAAGGAAAATAGGGTATGTTTTTTTAATTATATTAAGTCATTACACTAAAAACAGGTTAAGATTATGCGATTTTATATTTTTGGACAAAAATCATAAAATTGAATAAAACATTCCTATGGCTATCAGCGTTTTTCCCGAATCTAAATCCCAAGAAAATCAAAAATTTTAGAATAATTGTACATATAAAATGACAGCGATCTTTATTTCATAGCCATCGCTGACGCCTTTTTTCTATGATATTGTATTATTTGCAAATATAATTTTTCGAAGATTAATAACAATACATCATTATTAGTAGATATTGAATATTTTTTGTAAAAATAAGATCGATTTTCAAACCCCAAAATTTAAAATATATTTTAGATTTTACCCATTGTCTTATATACCTATTCATTATTTGTATATTGTAAAACATTTGCTGCATTTGTATAGTTCATAGTTTATTTGTCAAAGTATTTATTCCTATAAATAGGTATATTATATTTATTAACTGTATATTATGTATATTTCATGTAAACTATATCATTTTTAAAATACAAACAAAAAATACGAGGAATAATTATGTTTTCCATGTATTCTACAACGTATTTATTAAATCCGTAGTATCTAACTAGCGTGCCGTCATAAATCTCGCTCCGAGGCTGTTCTACTAGAGACGGCATTGGTCTTATATTTAGAAATATCAAAAGCTGATGACATTTTACTTTTGACAATTATGACATTTCGTGTTGATTTTTGCAAGAAGAGGAAGAACTGTCACTTGTTTTATTATTTTCCTTTTCTATTTCACGAAGAGTTACCTATCTGATTCGTTCAGGCACTCAATTTAAAGAATACCAGTAGCTTTTTTGATAGAGGGATTTTATATTTGCTATGTTGGTAAAAAATAACGGTCAAAATTCAAAGTTATTCATTTTATAGACTATATTCATGCGTTAATATGATAGAGATAACAATAATATTTGTTGGGGAACAGTAAAACTCAATATTTAGTTAAAAATTTTGAATGAACTGAAATATATCTTATACATAAACAAGTTGTTATATATTAGTACTAAAAAGGAAATACTGCTTTTAGGTTAAAGAAATATTGCAATCAATGAGCTTATGGAATCACCGGAAAGTCCGAACGGAATCATTATCTGGTGGTCAGAAGAAAAGATTATCGATAGCCTTAGAATTATTAAAAAATCCACAAGTTATGTTTTTTGATGAACCTACAAGGTATTTATATGTTTCGTTATAACATAATAACAATAATATGCTATAGTTATATTAGTCATTAACGGGGATAATAAGGTTCTCTTTAATTACATACTATACGGGCCAAGTGTACTTGTATCAAGTCAACCAGATGCTGCCATATAAATATACATATTGTTGCGAAACCAGCCCCGCACTAACATGACCTTCTAGAACGGCAGGGACGCGACGCGACGGCGCGACGATAACAACTACATTACAGTTGAGGGTTGGAACCTTTGGTGCTACACAGCAAAATATAACACTAAATCACCACAATACACCAAAACACTTTTACTTTTACACTGGACGCACGTTTCGCTAACCATCATCAGCAGATGATTATAAACTAAAATATAATCTACAACAAATTATTAGCACTATACACAAGTTTATAATTGACATTCATAAAAATTCCTTTTAGACCAGGTTTGATAGACAGTTATCCCGTTTAGCGAAACGTGCGTTCAGTGTAAAAGTAAAAGTGTATTGGTGTATTGTGGTGATTTAGTGTTTTATTTTGCTGTGTCAAGACTTAGCTAAAATAAATGACTTAGTTTTACATAAGATATCGTTTTCGTGGATTTCTACATTTCCTGCTACAGTTCTGCTGTTTTATTCCAGGCTAAGTTGAATTAATCAGGATATGTTAGCTATTCAGTTTAATTAGTATTTAATATTCGTGGCACTATCATTATTTTTCAACTAGAGTACCGTATGATCAAAAAACGGCGTTTAGTTAGCTTGGAAATGAACATCGATGACATTTCTTATAAATAGTTACAATATACCTTTGAATAAGAAGACTAAGGAAGGAGCATATCAAAAATCTTAGGTCCACCGCGATGGGACTCAAATATGGCCGACTTAAATTCCGGTTTGTCAGTGCCGTTCTAATTTTATTTAAAAAATGTGAAACTATGATGTAGGGTAGACGTGAGGTAGACTCAATTTTTTTTTTATTTTACGTTGTGAATAAATGTTGGTAGTTATTAAAATTGTTATAAAAACATATTATTACAATAAAAATAATAAGTTTTAATAATTATTTATTAACACAAACATCCGATACGCTACTGAAGCAGGTAAGTCAAATTGACGTATCTAAATTCTTTGACACCTAATCTTTGACAAGTAGTACATAAAAGCAAAAATGCAAAATAACATATATAATTAGTTAATTTAAATGAATTTCATAAATGATTGGTTTACTACACGTATGTACATTACTTACATTACTTACTAGCGAAAAGTTGTTCCATTATTTCACTCGATTTTTGCTGAGATCTACCGCACGCTACACAATCAACCATTTTAGAGTCTTTTTCGATAAATCCCGATAGTGTCACTGTTAACTTAAGTTCTGCCACAACTTCCATCTAGATTTACTACCTTTATACAACTATCAGTAGTAGAATAAATAATAAATAACATAAAATAAGCTCCGTAAAGACTGACAAATCCACAAAATTTCAAATCAAATTCAAATGTGTCAAATGAATCGTCAAACAGAACTGTCAAGGATCCCCACCCTGGATTCCTTTTTCCGCCCACCATGCATGAATACATGGATATCATTACGCTCCTTCCTTAAGCCGGAGTCTCATGCATCCGAAATCCGATGGTACGACATCCGAAATTTGAAGTTATCGTGTGAAATAAAAAAAGCCTGTCACATACATCCGAAAGTTCGTTCCGAAATTTGACAGTTTTAACATTTTTCTGCTGCGCTGAATAGAGATTCATGTCATGTTTTATTAGAGAAACACTTATAAAAACAACTTCCTCGCCAAAAATCCCAAAATTGCCCACTTCCCACTAAACTTGTTTTTAAAAACAAATGTTTTCAAAAAAAGTGAGGTTAAAAAACACACGATATCGTACAAAAGTTAAACAAAATTTAACTTTATACGACGTCGGATGATTAGTTAAAATTATCGGATAAAAATTGTTGTCAAAATATTTCGACCAATAGGAGCACCGTCGGATCGTCGTGTCATCGGATTTCGGATGCATGAGACTCCGGCTTTAGTCTTCTTATTAAAAGCAATATACATATAAAATGACAGCGATCTTCATTTCATAGCCGTCGTTGACGTCGTTTTTTATTGTATTTTCTGTAATTGTTAGGATGTCGTCTGTTGAAATTTTTCCTGACTTCACAACTACTAAAATCAATTACTATACAATTATTAAAAGTAATATTTTCTTTTCAGTGGACTGGATAGCCTTTCTTCAAAACAGTGCGTGAAGTTACTTAAAGACTTGGCTGCTATGGGTCGAACAATAATTTGTACAATACATCAGCCAAGTGCAATTATTTTTGATCTCTTTGATCATTTATACGTATTAACCAATGGGCAGTGTATGTATCAAGGATCAGTTAAGGGTGTTTTACCATATCTAGAAGATATCAACTTAAAATGTCCTACATATCACAATCCAGCTGATTTCTGTAAGTAAACAATATACAGGGTGGACCGAATCAGGGCCGTTCCTGGCGAGCGTGCAGTGCGTGCACGCACGTAGGTGCAACATTTTGGGGGCGCAAAATCGAAGTGTCAATCAGTACTTTGTAACAAAAAACCGATACGCTTTCTTGTTAGTAAACAAATACTTAAACATACATCATAGGATAAAGTTTGCTTAGCGTCTTTTTTGCGTTGGCCGCACAGAATAAACATGTCTAGGGCAATCAGTCGGCGACATATTGATCTCATCTATTTATTTTTCATTATATTCATTTTATGGAAAGCACTGTTCATTAAAATGTTGTATCGTATGTTATACGGCTTGTTTCTCTTTACAATTTCCTGTCTCACAATATACCCTTTGTGTCGGGGAAGGGATCATAGTTTCATAGTTGTCGATTTTCGACAGAAATCAGTGCATGTATATTATTTCGTATATTTTTCATTTTATTGATTTTATGGAAAGCACTGTTCATTAAATTGTTGTATCCTATGTTATAGGGCTTGTTTCTCTCTACAATTTCCTGTCTAACAATATACCGTTTGTGTCGGGGAAGGGATCATAGTTTCATAGTTGTCGATTTTCGACAGAAATCAGTGCATGTATATTATTTCGTATATTTTTCATTTTATTGATTTTATGGAAAGCACTGTTCATTAAAATGTTCTATCCTATGTTATAGGGCTTGTTTCGCTCTACAATTTCCTGTCTCACAATGTACAGCTGGTTCCAAAAAAAATGAGTACGACTCTGTACACATTTTTTCTAATACTTGGGCAGTGTATATTTATGTGTCAAGTATTTTGACATGTTAAGGTTATTGTGACATTGTATAAAACAACTTTGCTTTTGACAAAGTGGCAAATAAATTTTTCAGAACGTCAGCATGACATGAATAGAGAAATGGGGGACTGGTATCAGAGAATATACTGCCCGAAATAATAAAAATATGTTTTCAATCGTATTCAATTTTATTGGAACCAGCTGTACCATTTGTGTCCGGGACGGGTTCATATAGTTTCATAGTTGTCGATTTTTGAAAGAAATCAATACATGCATATTTTTTCCGATTTTTAGTTTATTGTTTTTATGTATTTCATATAAAATGGGTCAGTTTTTTTTCTTTATGGTACTATTTTTGTGGTTTTGTTTGTTTTCTTTATTTAATAAATGTTTTTATACTTTAATTAGAATATATAGTTTTCTTACATTTCCAATCACATATTGCTCGTTTGTCGCAGAATATAAATTCTTTAAATTTTTGAGATTAAGATTAAAATGTATAATTGATTTAAATATAAAAAGGGCGCACCAAAAAATGCTGCACGTAGGCGCCAGATGGCCCAGGAACGGGCCTGGACCGAATTGTATTTGGAAAACTTTCGCTGCATATTCTACAGATAAAAATAAGTAAAAAACTTCTATAAATGTATGACCTAAACTGTTTAATTTCGAAGATACAGGTCTAGAAATTTCATTTCTATTTCAACTTTTTCTAAGTAATTTCTAAACTAACGTCGATATTTGTATAAAAATTATGTCTGAGAATTTTTTGACATAGGATATTTAATTTCAAGATGGCTCCTACTTGGAGGGCACCCTGCCCACATATTTTTAACTGGTTTGAAAAGTACTAAACTTTTCCTCCGTACCTGTATAAAACTACCGAAGGAAAAAATATTAATTATCGCCGTTTTATACGTAAAAAAAAAGAGCTCTGGGTAGAAATCGCTATGAGTAATGGTTCTCGAGATATTTGGAATCTAAATAATCAATATATTGATAAAAAAAGATAGACTTGAACTAAAGTCGTCATTGTTCTTGAAAAAAAAATTTAGTGGCAAGAGAATTTATTTTAGCGTAAAAGAAAATATTTTGCCTGAAGAAAAACTCTCTTAACTGAAGAAAACTGGTTCTCTTGAAAAATTCGAAAATTTCTCTTGAATCTATTTTCATTCAACCAAGTGCTAGTTACTTTGTTTTAAGATAATAAGAAAAATACGCTAGGAAGTACTTCATTCAAGAAACATGGCCATTTTTCCAATAGCTAAATACTCTTTTGATGAAAAATAATAACGACACGCAAAGACGATGACGAAGGACGGTAAATCGGCAATCAGTCGGCAGTCCGATCAGTCACATGATACAAAGAAAACAAGGTATGATATTGCGCAGGTTGGTCACTACGTCACAGGTGATAAAGGGCACTATTGGTCGGCAAGCTCTGCGCACCAATTTCAAATTGTCAAACACATGACACATAATAAATGTATCATAACTTTTCAAATGTCAAGCTCGATGATCTGACATAACTTTTGGGGTTATGTCCTAATTCTTCCCTATTTTATGTCTTTTTTTATTGAACAATATGGATATTTTTTGTATGGCGTATGACGTCACAGGTGGTATGCGCAAACTGAACGAAATTAGGGCCGCTATCGATCATACCTTGTTTTCTTTGTACCATGGATCAGTCATACGTCACATTTCATAGGTCGCACCTCATAGTACGCACGGGTTTTGTTGCTAGGAATTTTCCACTTGGAATTTTGCATAATTTGCGTTTTAAACGCATATCGTATAACAAATTAGTGATCGTTATTAACATGCATTTGTCATTTTTTATGGACAAATTTTAGGATATATGGATTCTTTAAAGGAGTTTCTGAAAAAATGGAAATTAGAGCATTTATTTGCTATATTTGAAAGTAAGAGACATTTACCTAATGCACCTGTTTAGATAATGCATGCGTGATTATATATGTGCGTGATTATAGATAGAATAAGAATATAGGTATCGATTTTTTCATGCAAATAATTACAAAAATTTTAGAATTTCAAGTCGTCGTATTAAAAAATTCAAAATGCGACCAAAGCTTATAATTTTAATAATTTATTTGCTTTACTATGATTAATTGTGATGTAACATTTTTTATAATTTGTAGAGTAATGAACCACCCCAAAAAATAACAGGGAGTGAAGAAGCAGAAATAACTACTATCGAGGAAAATAATATCACTTCACTTACTACAGACCAGGAAACCCTAAATTTATCAGAAAATAATATACCTCGTAATATGCCTGTATATGATGTATAGGCTTCTCTTAGATCAAAATAAATTTTAGTTGAGTCAATAGTATTCGCTAAACCAAATCAAGAAATGTCCCTTTTCAATCAAGAATTTTTGCCTGAATCAAAGAGACTATTGTTCTTGTAGCAAGAACTTCTTTGCATATTCATTTTGGGTCCAGAGTGAAATACTTTGGACAGATAGATTCTTCTATTATCTGAAGTAATTTTTTAAAGCTTATGAAAAGATAGTTAATGCTTTGGACAAAGAAACGTCGTTCTTGGCCCTATTGAAAAGCGCCAATCTTTTGAGTCAAAGTCATATTCATTTCGACCGAGAGATCCTTTTTTTCAGTGATACATGTTATCAATGTTATCATCGGCAAACATTGAACATGTTGACAAGATAATTAGACTTAAATAATAAGTTTGAAATATTTTTATGTCAAACGTTCAACAGAAACTTGTATGGCCACTACATGTATTAACTATTTCTATTCCAAACATCTTGAAAACGGTTGTTTGTCGCGATTTTTATCAAAAGACCTTTTTATACCTACATAAAAAATGACGAAAATGTATATTTTTTACTATTTACTATTCAAAACAGTTAAAAGTCGTGTAGGTGGCGCCTCCTACTAATTTCTTATATAATACACCAATTTTTATCCAAACACCGATTATTATAGTTCAGAAATTATTTGGAAAAAATCGAAATAAAAATGAAACTTCTACACCCTGTATCTCCGAAACGAAGCATTTTAGGACATGCGTTTATACAAACTGTTTTACTCATTTTTATCTGCATAAAATGCCGAAGATTCCGACCACCTTGTATATTATTGATTGCTAAAATTGTTAGTTCTTAATTCAAAACAAATGTGTATTTTACTTTTTAAAAAACGTACTGAAATATTTCAGTACTGGAAGTAGTAAATGGCGAACATGGTGATTATTACGATGCTTTACTTGAAAAATCAAATAACGGATTAACTCAGGATTGGCGGAGAAATCAAACAAATTCACTAAATTTACAATCGTTGGATCACGTGGGTAAGACAAAATAAATTATAGGACAGGTTATGATAATAGTACAATACGTCATAGCCCGAGTGGGTATACCCTATACTTTATAAACTACCGGGTTCCAATGCCTCTGATCATTTTAGCTACCTTTCTACCTAATGGTTAATGGAAAACTTTTGATCAAAAGTCAACCATTAGGTAGAACAGTAGTTTTATATAACATACGTTCATTTATTTTTGTTGTGAAACACCCTGTAGACCTACAAGTTTTTAAAATGTAATTTTAAAATAGATCACTTTTAGGTCAATATTACACTATCAAATTTCTTTGTCAAAGATCTTTTATAAAAGATATTTGATGAAAAATTTGACATTGTCAATATACAATATTGGTAATTATTGGGAAAACTGGAAATCGTCAAATTTTCACCAAAATTGGTATACAGCCTATTTTGACGTCGTAGATTACGAATCTGAACTTTTTTCTTGGCGGTCTCTTACCGTTTTTCAGAAAAACGGAAAATTATTTCAATATCGAATTTTTCTTAATTTCTCATATTTTTAAGGTTTTCTAGCATATGTTTTGTTGGGTATTCAATAAACAATGATGTGATTGCTATTTTCTGTTACTTTTTTAATCAATTCTATGCATAATAGAGGAAAATTTGCTAAAATAAATTTGTAAACAATCTGAAAATGTTGGGTTATGTGTTTCTGGCATTTAAAGCAACGTTGCCAATGCTAAACCTAAATTTAGCGTGTTTTTTTCGCTCATTCTGGGATTACGAAAGGCGGTCGCCAGAAGAACGGCTCCTTCCCATAATTGCTATTTTACCAACGAGATCTAACTATTTATAACCACGAAGTCGCACGAAAGAGTTTTGATTGCATTGGTTACAACTTCCATGCGGAGGGTGTTAATCTTTTGTTGTTATATTATATCAAAAAAAGATTAACCCCCTCCGCAAAGAAGTTAAAAGCAATGCAATCAAAACTCTTTCGTGCAACAATAATTTTTGGGTCGAAACGACGTTGGATATCGATGTTGGCTAGCAGCCTAATTTAGTTCAAACTGCAACGTTGTTTAAAATCCTAATTCACAGAAATACAAAACTATAATAATATGGCGTCTAAGTCGCTATAGTAAAAATATTATTTTTATGATTTAGTTAGAGACATGTGCCAGATGGCAGTAAAGGAAAACAAAACAAAAGTATTTAAGTGTGGAGGATGTTTGAAGATCATAATTATTGAAACACTTTAACCAACTCTGTAACTCGTTACCCAAGGCAAAAAAGTTAAACGCAAACAACTTTATTGATAAATGAACCGTCTGACTGAAAAAGAACAATGGGCCTTAAAATTTAAGATTTAAAAAATTTCTTGAATTTTTTTTTTAAGTAAAATGAGAATAATTTATTCGTAGTCGAAACAAAAATTGTTTCCGCGTGTTGTTTAGGGTCAAATATTTCAAGTTAATGTTTTCAAAAAGCAGGAATTGCTTTTTAGGAACGAAACATTTTCTTATTCAACAACATGGCGGCTTTCACTTTGTTGTTTTGGAGATTAAGATGGAGTAGTTCGAGTAGTCGCATACTGGACTAATAAAGTCGGAGTTCAGCCTTAACAGGTAGTATACTACAGCACTGAACTGTCTGACTGAACAGAACAATGAAGTGAAAATTTAAGATTTAAGGTTATGGTTCAATACAGTTGCAAAAAGGTAGTGGCTCGACGTCCTACCAACGTAAGAATAAGGAAATCTAAACAACGTTGGAATTAGTAAAACAGACGACGTTTGCATAACGTTGGAATAGGTCCTGAAAGTAACGTCGGAAAACTCTTTATTGCCCAACATTGTAACTACGTTGTCTGAATCACCTAAACATCACTTAAACAAAAAAGGTTACAAGACAACGTTTATTCGACGTTGCAGAAGCGTTTACTTTGTGGTAGTACTAGTTCAACGTCGGCACAACGTCAAGGTACGGAACTAACTATTTTTTGTAACTAATCCAACGTTGTGTTTAGTAAACATGTGGTCGCAAGTCGTGAAAATGCTACTTGGGTATGCTCACAAAATTTCATTTCAATACAAACTGTCGTTCTCCTTGGAGCCTCCGCGTCGTGTGAGAGGTGCCACCTATGTAATTTCTTATAGTTATATACTTTTTCTTATTTTTCAGATAGAATGATGAAAACTGGGAAGATTACCCCTGTTCATGCGGTACCGATGACGTTCCCCAAAGTCACCGACTGTGATAATTGTGATAAATCAGTGCGTGAAGCCGATATATATCCCACATCATGCCTTTACCAAATTTTAATTTTAGTTAGGAGAACATTTTTAATTATATCTAGAGATAGAACCCTTACACTTAATAGGATACTTACTCATTTTTCTATTGCTATATTTATAGGTAAGGTTATATTATATTAATCTCATTTTTTGTAACCAAGGATAATTTTAGTTTAAAATTACTGTATCTATTTCTAGGTTTTTTATATTTTGGAATAGGAAAGGATGCATCGACAATGTTAAACAACTTTAATTTTATGTTTTTTAGCGTAATGTTTTTAATGTTAACTGCCTTTAATTGTGTTACCACAACATGTAAGTTAAGAAATGATGATTGAATTATTTTTTTAATCATATAGTAATGTTTCAGTTCCGTCCGAATTGCCCATTCTAACTAGAGAACACTTTAACAAATGGTATTCTTTGAAATCGTATTATTTAGCAATTACAATGGCCGATATTCCTATTCAAGTAAGTTAATAAAATATACAGGGGTGGCGCCTCTCATACGCCGCAGAGGTAGTTTGTATTGAAATGAAATTTTGGCAGCATATGTAGGTTACCTGAAAGCATTTTATAAAAATATATAGAAGTATACAGGGTGTCCACAAATAAAGTTACACATCAAAGTTGTGTTTTTTCTAATGGCACACCCTATATATTAATTGATTTTTGGATTCTAGTAAAAAAATAAAGGTGAGTTTTATTAAAGAAGCATATACCTAAAATCTAAGGATTCTTGGAAAATTTAATATTCTTGAACCTTGTTTTTAAAAATTCTGATTTTTTTTTAATTTTCTTGGGATTTAGGTTCGGGAAAACTCTAATTAAGTTTTCATTTGGTTTTTCGTATCTTTATTTCCTTTTTAAAAGGAAAAACAAACGTTTCGGCCAACATTACAGCCTTCATCAGTGTAGTGTCTATAACTACATTACTATTCTACTCTATCTATATTCTATTCTACAATCTAATAGAATCATATCTCTGATGTATATAAGTTTGCATTTTCGGTAAATTTCTGAGATTTTTTTTTGTGTTTTAACTTACACAAAATGATAACTAGTTGTTAAAGTTGGACTAATTAGACAGCTATATTGAAGTAACGTCAGACCATATCACAGCCATCTAGATTTTATCAAATAATAAAGATCTACTCTGATCAAATCATGTATGTTAAAATATCTAGGAAAATCTTTGTTTGAGGGGTAGGCAACCTTAATGAAGAGGCATGAATTCTCCATTGAATATCGGAATAATATACTGGGTGTTCCATTTAAAATGCTTTTAGAGGTTCCAATGTTCAATATTAATTTTGTCTCACCCTGTATAACTTTTTCGATCAAGTTTTAATTTGATTTAAAGTACAATAGTTAATTTAACTATATATACCGGGCTATACCGGGTAAATTCCAATTTAGGAAGCTTTTACTGTAATTTAAAAATTGTTCTTTATTTCTAAGAAATGTTAAATACGTCAAAAACTTTACATTTTAGTCATACTTCTTATAGACTTATAAAACTCACCTTTATTTTTCTCCCAGAATCTGAAAATCAATTAATGAAAACTTTGATATGCAACTTTTTTTAGGGGCACCCTGTAGAACTCTCTATATTTTTAAAAAGTGTTGTGAATTAACCTACATATGCTCACAAAATTTCATTTTTCACGTTTGAAAAAAGGGTTCTAAAATATAAAATTCTATAATATATACGGGTAAAATTTTATTGCCCTATTAAGGATGATTCACGGTACACCGGACCGTACCCGAGCCGGGTACGTTCAGTAAAGTAGACACCGAGCCACGTCCGGGCCTTCAATATATGCAACACCGAGTGGACAACGGGGATCATGTCCGTGCCGATTATATTCTAGAATACAGTGTTGCCGCAGTGGTACATTTGTACCAAATTTGATACTTTTAATTCTATTTGGTACAGTGGTACTACATTTTCAAATCCAGGATGATTCGGTACAATAATTATTTCCCACGCGCACCGAAAATGAATAGATATTTTATAATTATCGTCGTTGATATTGCATTAAACGCGCTTACCGATACCATTCGGAGACAATCCGCATTAATTAACGACGTATTATAAACGTTGTAATGTCTATAGGGTTGCCTGTATTAAATAACCCGAAGAAAAAACTTAAAAATTTGCTGTTTCTAACATGCTTCTATATTTGCGTTTTTTTTTTAATAAAATTTAAGTTTTCCAAGTATCGTGTGTAGTATTAGAATTACTTACATTTCTTCAACCTATACATACTTATAATTGGGTTTTCTGAATTTCTATTTCATGTTTTTTGTCTCGATTTGTGTCTTTCTCCAGGAAGTTTTTTTATGTAGAAATTTATGAAGAAATTCACAACGACCAAACCGGTTAAAGTAATTTGCAGATGTATTTTGTTGTGCTTTAAAAAATTGTGCCAAAGTGGTACATTTTTAGTTTATAATGTGGTACGCGCTAAATGTTGGGTGCGGCAACACTGCTAGAAAACAGTCGCTATAGGCCCGTAGACGAACGAAGTATTTAGCCGCGGCGGCTCATTTATGTTTGCCGCAACGGGGCCGGAACGTAGCGGATACGAGGAAAAATGTACACCGACATTTCTTGGACGGGGCACGGACGCATTCCGGCGAAGCTCGGACCGTGCTCGGCTTAGCATGAATGTATAAGTATAAATAACATTTGACAATGTTTGGCCGTGCCTTCACCGTCGCACGGCTCCGGCCCGTCACGGTGTACCGTGAATCATCCTTTATACAATATGATTGAAAAAAGAACCGCGTCAGCGATCGCTACGAAAATCGATGATTTGAAACATCGATCGTCACTTCCAAGGAAACTGGACACCATTTTTTTTCGATCATACGGTACTTATTCTTATTATTAATAATATTCGAAGTTGAGTAGATTCTATAAATTTTACACAATAATCGTTTATGATTTTTTTTCAGATATGTGCAACATTGATTTACGCGTTAATAACATATTTTCTTACAATGCAACCAATTGAATTATTTAGGATAGTATCCTTTTTATTTATGTGTGTGTTAATATCAATGGTTGCTCAAAGTTTCGGATTATTTATTGGCGCTTGTATGGATGTAAAGGTAATTTATAATTATTTCATATATTTTTCACATTTTTTATAAAAAATATATTATACCGTGCTGGCAACTGTTACTTTCGGGTCGGCATTTACATGTGTGGAAGTAAATCGCATAGGAATCTTATTAAGTCGGAGTGAGAGAAATGCGCCCGACCGAGGCGACGCGCGACGATGTGCTGTTGCGGCGTTGCCGATACGCCTTTCCCTATCAAGTAAAGTAAAATCACGATCGCAAACCGCTTATTTTTAAAATACTTTTTTTTCAAGAGATAACTAGATAAAATCATTAGACATGTTTCTGAGCATCTGAAATGGAATTATAAGGATATCGTTAGTTTTTAACACATAACAGGCCATAACTCAAGAACCACTTTAGATATTGATTGGTTTTTTTATTTTCAAGATCGGATATTTTACAATATGTTTACATAAGAAAAATTCGATAAGGTTGTTTTTTTCTTTCAAAAATTGTAAACAATCCATCCATTTACTTTTAGAGCATAGCAATTTTCAGCAATCGTGTAATTTTTTTATTGATATTTTCACATATTGTCTACAAAGACAATACAGCAGAAATATTAACAAAGTTCTTGATAAAACTACAATCTATTATTTCTAATAGATTTCGAGATATTGATTTTTGAATTCAGAGTTCTAATAGCGCAACCACTATCGAACACCCTCTCAATTTCACTTATTTTTACCAAAAATGCAAGTGTTTCCAGCTTGCATCGTGAAGCTGAACGCATGACGTACACCTTTCCCTAGAACTTTAAGTACTGACAGAGGTATTGATTGGGTCGACCGGTCAACTGCGACAAATCTCCTTTATCCCCTTCCACGTCTCTTAGCGATGTGCACAGTTTCTCGGTTTATTTCATACGTTTGGCAACGTGTTTACTGTCCTCTCTTTGTTCAGTACATTATAAACGCATTGTACTCTTCTTACATACGGAAATCTCGACCCAAGACTAACCTTTGCCAGCCCTTGGTATATTATTTTTAAATGGTATTAAATTGATATTATAATAAAAATTATTTAACTATCTTACAGTTTTTTGTTTTTTTTTCAGAATGGTGTAATCTTTGGTCCATTTTGTTTTTTACCATTTACTATATTCTCTGGATTTTTTGTTCAGCTTAACGACTGCCATCCATACATGCGTTGGTTATTCCATATTTCCTTCTTAAAATACGGATTTGAAGGATTAGTATTATCTGTACTAGGTTATAAGAGGCCAAAGTTGCCTTGTAATGCGGACTACTGTCATTATGTCAATCCACAAAAGTTCCTAACCACGAGGGATATGGGTGATGCCAATTATTCATTAGCTGTCATCTTTTTATTAGGACTAGTTTTTATTCTAAGAATAACTGCCTACATTGCTTTAAAAATACAACTAAGAAGAAACAGAAGCAAGAAAAATTAATTTTTACTCACAAACTACCTCTATAAACTATTAAAAAAGTGAAAAGGTGTATATACTTATATACTTATAAAATAATTAACTAGAAAGAAGTGTCAACTCTGTATTAAATCGAGGAAACACGATACGCCACCGAAAGCCTTCGTTGTCGTCTGGAGAACTAATTTTCCAATTGACAGGTTGACATGATGGCTTCATTCTTATTTCCGTTTCCGGTTATTCAATGGCGGGCCCTCTTTCAGTTTAAATGTATTTTGTACTCTTTCCTATCATGAATAAAACAAAATAAAATCTTATTCAAACATATTTATTTGAAATATGACACAACGTGACTAAATAAATATAAAAAATAAAGAATTGAATGATTTCTACAGCAATTACTTAATTATATGCAATTTTAACGTAAATTAGTAAGGTATAAGCATGACTTACAGTAATTTGTAAATAAATACACGTATTCACAGCCTTCAGGGACAGAAAACGGGGGCAGGAACATGAAAACGGGAGCATTGTACAAAGAGCTGAAAACAGAAAAACAATTTTTTTATACTAAAATTAACAATGTAAAAATATCAATAGGTATAAAATATAAATATACTGTTTAAAAAAGCGTCCATTACTCCCAAAGAGACATTTATAAATCAAAAAGAAGCAAAAAGAGACTTTAGTCAGATAACAATATTGCCTGGAAACTTATTATATGGTGAAAATAATATATAAACTTATTATATGGTGAAAAGATATAGACTCAATGGTTATATAAAAATTGATTTAAGGACACATGAGGAAACACACCACAATTTTTAGACTAATTAGAAAACACCCTGTATATTGTCAACTTGACAATGATTGCTGATAAATCAAAAAATACCTTTTCAGTGAAAAAAGTCCGATTTTCGCAGGAAAAACTTTGGTTTTTATTGAATTTGGGCCTGCGTCTGCAAATACCGGTATGTTTTATAATTTTCTATCTATCTAAATTTTAAATATCATAGTCAGAAATAGTTTTATTATTTATTAAATGTAAAAATGGTATACTTATAAGTTTTATCAAATATTGTGATTTACTTTCTACCTTGTAGTCAAATTTTATTTATAATACACTGTAAAATATATATATTCTTATGTTTTATTAAAGTTACTCTGATTACTAATATATCAGTGTAACTTTAAAAATAAATCCTTTGAATTCAAATATAAATATAAAAAACATTTACAGCAGAAAAGGCGAAGGCGTTGGTTAAACGTAGTCTCCACTAAGAACACGGGGGGGCGCTTTGACCTAAAATTTTACTATTAAGTTTCATATCTATCTAATAGTAGATTATTTTCTTTTATCTATGGATAACAATCAGATTGTATCAGTCAGATTTATTGCATTATTGACAATAAATCGCACATACTGGAGATTACTAATGTTGGCTATAGTTAAAAATGATCTTACCTTGCTGTAAATTGTTTCCATTTTCAAAAAAATCGCCGATCATAAACATATAACAAAATTTTCTTGCATCTAAAAAATACAGAAATATGTTTATTTACTACCTATTTTTAATATACATGGGACATACCCAAGAACAGTTAACCTAATAGGACTGCTCATTCAGCCAAAAGTGTCCGCCAGGTGCATGCGAAAACTACTCGCTTTGTGACGTCATTGTAGCCCTTGTCATGGTTATTAGTCCTTATCCGGCAACCAATAATACACACACGTGCATTATTGGTTACCGAATGCAAAAAATGTTTATTGCAGAAATTGTATTTCTTTGATTATAATTCCCTACGCCACTGGAGAAATCCATGCTGAGTAGCATTATTTATAGTTTTAAACATTAATTATAATACAGGATATTGAAAACACTACTTGGAATTATTAAAAATAGTTTGGTTTGGATGTGGTACAAAACATATTAAAAGTATTTTACATATTTTTACTGCTATTATGAAAAAAATGTACATTTTATGACCACTGTGATGACCACATAACAAAAGTTGTGTATCGATTTTTACCTGTGAAATGTAATACTAGCCACTTTTTTCTCGCTTCGGCCTTTGCAACCCTTTTGCAGCCATACGCTGAACATCTCACCCATAGCTCACCATACTAAACAACGCAGTTTATAAATTTAAAACAAAACAGTTGTCACCAAAAACATAAAAATTCGTTTGGTGTCACCTCGAAATCTTGTCACCAAAGTATGGCCGCCGATCGAATTTTTAAGCCCCGTTCTCAGAACTGCGTCGTGTCGACAGCGACACTGATTGACACTTCAAACGACCAATGGGAGCTGTACGAAATTTAAAATTGACAGCTGTTTGAATTTTGCACAAATCTGATTGGTTCTTTTGTCGTGTCGCTGGCGACAGTCGCAGTTCTGAGAACGCGGCTTTATAGGATACATTGGATACATTAAAATACGCAACCAACCGTCATTGAACCGTCCAATCAGATCAAAGGAGTAATCGTCGTAGATCGTGCGTTATCGATAATGTTCGGTGCCTGGAGAAAATTGACAATTGACAAGAGAATTGTTTATTATTTTTCACACATCATATTATTTAGACCCCTCATACAAAGCTAAATTATTCATAATATCAATAGTTTATTAACGTAGTTTTCATGTAGTTAATGAACGGGAAAAGACGTAGTTTTTGAAGAAAAACTACACGTAGTTAATCAGGTAAATTACGTCTTAATTATTCCTATTCCGGAACCCCTGTGTCTAAGCCAGGGTCTGGAAAACTATGTTACTTTTACAAAAACTACATAAACTACATTACATGTAGTTAATGTAGTTTATGTAAGAGAATTGTAGTTTATGTAACCTATAATGAAATATCAAAGGTTTGAGGTGAGGGTTCAGGGAGTCAGGTAGTTAATTAAGACGTAATTTACCTGATTAACTCCACGATAGTTATCTCAAAACTGTCGTCTTTCCAACACATTATGAAAAAACCACGTTAATAAACTTTAATGTATTGATATTATGAATCATTTCCTTTGTATATGAGGTGTAATAGAGATAATATGATGTAAATATTATATTTAAAACCATATATTTCTTCTGTTTTCTTTAAATATTATGTGTTTTTAAAGCTTCAGCTTATTATAAACTCACTTCAAACCTCTGATATTTGAAAGTTACATACATAGGTTACATAAACTACACCCTCTCCTCTCATAAACTACATTAACTACATGTAATGTAGTTTATGTAGTTTTAACCTATGTATGCAACTTTCAAATATCAAAGGTTTGAGGTGAGGTTAGGTTAACAAGTTGAAGCTTTAAAAACACATAATGAATTTAAGAAAACAGAAGAAATATGGCTTTTAAATATAATATTTACATCATCATATCTCTATAACACCTCATACAAAGGAAAATTATTCATAATATCAATACATAGTTTATTAACGTAGTTTTCATGTAGATAATGAACGGGAAAAGACGTAGTTTTTGAAGAAAAACTACACGTAGTTAATCAGGTAAATTACGTCTTAATTAACTACTTCCGAACCCTGGTCTAAGCCTTCGCTCATGCCATGAACATCTGTGGCTAAGAAGCAAGTTGACATGGTTGACATCTGTGGTTGACATCTCTGTTGACGGCAAGTAGTGTTTTGTGAAAATGGCTCATAATTTTTCTGCAGATATTTGGAAAAATTGGGAAAAAAAAATGGTAAACAAGAATTGTAAGTATTGCTGGCATTTTAAATATTAATAAAGTATGTATCAATGCAGTCACTATATTATCACAATTCCTAAACAAAATTTTTCAGGCTGTTTATACAAAGTTTAACATGTGATTTTAAACTTTGTTTTTTTAAATTATACTTACTATTTATTTGAAAATCGTAGTACAATAAATTATTTACTTCAGTAGTTAGTTACTGTATTGTGTATGACGTATTCATGAATTAAATTAAAGTGAGTAGGTACATAATTTCTTTTCAGAGTTGTGTTTTCAGTAATAAGTAATAATATAGTTTTTTTTATAAAATACATGTAACAAGAAAATTATTAAAATGAAAATATAAACACTGTTACAATACAAACATATGGACATGCATGCATATATCTGTGGATGTACCCAGAACTTGTTTTTGTTTTAGTATGAAAAAATGTGTATCTTTACTAAAAAATGGAAACAATAGTCCTGTTTTCGATAAAAATAGAAAAGTATCTCCAATTATAAATAACATTAACAGCCTAATAGAAAAAGGCATTAAAGGAGTAATAAAAAGAGAATCTGTTATTTCTACTTTACAGGAATTAGTTGTAAGTATAAAGCTGGATTTATAAACTTGGAAGTTGACGTTCAGTTGCAGTTGGATGTTTACGGCAGTTGAGGTTCAATACAGTTTACATTTATAAACTGTTAGCTTCGGTTGTAGGTTAGGTTTGGAATAGTGAATATTTCAAACATTGAAATATTTATTTTTCAAATGAAACAGAATAATCCAAGATTGTGTAATATAAACATTGGTTCCAGTCGATATTACGGACATTCAAAACGTTAAATTTTCCATACAGATTAGGTAAAAACCAAAGATTGGGTTGAACATTTTAAAACTCAACTGCCGAGTTTATAATTCCGAAAGAAAATTTATTGCATTTAGGTTAGCATGAATTAGCCAGTGGTCGGACAATTTAGTAAAAGCTGAGTTTAAATTGTTGATTAAATTTTCTTCATTGGTGACATGGAAATGAAATTTTATAAAATGTACAGGGTGTTTCAAAAGACATGTGCCATCTCTCGTGGGGAGATTCCTCACGAAAAATTGTTTAATTTATTTTTCATATCAACGTAGGTCCCATTCTGCTTTGCTTTGTAGCTACAGGGTGTCAAAGTCTGAATAATTTTTCGATTTATTATAATTTTCTTCCAAGTACTTTTAGTGATTCAAATGAAATTTTGAGGGTAAAAGATGACACATGTTTTTTGAAACACTCTTTATAGTGTGATTATTGGGCTTCACGTTAAAAATAACAGCGTCTCAAAAGTTGCTCACCCCTATAACTTTTTTATTTTTTTAGTTAAAACAACGATATTTGGTATGTTAGTATATAACATAAATTAGGATTAATTGACGTATTCAATTGTTTTCGGTCACTTCCTGTTTCACCGGAAATGACTAAAACTTTTGATTTTTAAATGGCATCCTCGGTATTTTTTTACTTTATTCAATAGAAAACAACACTTTACATAGAATGACATATCATATGTCAACTTTTGACATTTTCGCATATGGATTATTTGAAATTATAACTTGCGGTTCGTAACGAAAATTTGACTCGAAATACCAAGTGTGTGGTATCAAATTATTCGTAAAAAAATGCTTTTTCCAAATATGCTAATGAGCCACCCTCGTTCCCTTTGAAAATTTTTGTCATGTACTAACATACCAAATCTCGTTTTTTTATCTAAAAAAATAAAAAAGTTATAGGGATGAGCCACTTTTGAGACGCACCCGGTATATATAATTTTACAGCAAATTTAATTTTGAAAATTATACAGGGTGGTGCACCTCATTGGCCTCGGTTGATATACGAAACGAAAGTTGCAGAAACAAATTATTTTATTGGTATATGTATGTGGGGCTGATAGGCAATTACAAAATAGAAATCTGATGTGAATAGAAAAATAAAGTAAAAACTGTAAAAACATGTAAAAACAACAACAAAAATTCTAACCAAAGATTTAACCGTCATACGACATGAGCATCACGTGATTGCACAATACCCAACGATAGGGTACGTACCTCTTTCATCTGATTGGACGATTGGTTGCGTATTTTAATGTATCCTCGAATTTTTGCCTCACAATCAGGGTTCGGAAAACTATGGGAAAACTACATGTTACTTTTAAAAACTACATAAACTACATTACATGTAGTTAATGTAGTTTATGTAGAGGTAGTTTATGTAACCTATGTATGTAACTTTCAAATATCAAAGGTTTGAGGTGAGGTTACAATAAGTTGAAGCTGTAGAAAACACAATGTATTTAAGAAAACAGAAGAAATATGGCTTTAAATATAATATTCACACATCATATTATTTAGACCCCTCATACAAAGCTAAATTATTCATAATATCAATACATAGTTTATTAACGTAGTTTTCATGTAGTTAATGAACGGGAAAAGACGTAGTTTTTGAAGAAAAACTACACGTAGTTAATCAGGTAAATCACGTCTTAATTAACTACTTCCGAACCCTGTGTCTAAGCCTTCGCTCATGCCATGAACATCTGTGGCTAAGAAGCAAGTTGACATGGTTGACATCTGTGGTTGACATCTCTGTTGACGGCAAGTAGTGTTTTGTGAAAATGGCTCATAATTTTTCTGCAGATATTTGGAAAAATTGGGAAAAAAATGGTAAACAAGAATTGTAAGTATTGCTGGCATTTTAAATATTAATAAAATATGTATCAATGCAGTCACTATATTATCACAATTCCTAAACAAAATTTTTCAGGCTGTTTATACAAAGTTTAACATGTGATTTTAAACTTTGTTTTTTTAAATTATACTTACTATTTATTTGAAAATCGTAGTACAATAAATTATTTACTTCAGTAGTTAGTTACTGTATTGTGTATGACGTATTCATGAATTAAATTAAAGTGAGTAGGTACATAATTTATTTTCAGAGTTGTGTTTTCAGTAATAAGTAATAATATAGTTTTTTTATAAAATACATGTAACAGGAAAATTATTAAAATGAAAATATAAACACTGTTACAATACAAACATATAGACATGCATGCATATATGTGTGGATGTACCCAGAACTTGTTTTTGTTTTAGTATGAAAAAATGTGTATCTTTACTAAAAAATGGAAACAATAGTCCTGTTTTCGATAAAAATAGAAAAGTATCTCCAATTATAAATAACATTAACAGCCTAATAGAAAAAGGCATTAAAGGAGTAATAAAAAGAGAATCTGTTATTTCTACTTTACAGGAATTAGTTGTAAGTACAAAGCTGGATTTATAAACTTGGGAGTTGACGTTCATTTGCAGTTGGATGTTTACAGCAGTTGAGGTTGAATAAAGTTTACATTTATATATATAACTGTTAGCTTCGGTTGTAGGTTAGGTTTGGAATAGTGAATATTTCAAACGTTGAAATATTCATTTTTCAAATGAACCAGAATAATCCAAGATTGTGTAATATAAACATTGGTTCCAGTCGATATTACGGACATTCAAAACGTTAAATTTTCCATACAGATTAGGTAAAAACCAAAGATTGTGTTGAACATTCATAGTGTTGAACATTTTAAAATTTAACTGAACTTCAACTGCCGAGTTTATAATTCCGAAAGAAAATTTATTGCATTTAGGTTAGCATGAATTAGCCAGTGGTCGGACAATTTAGTAAAAGCTGAGTTTAAATTGTTGATTTTTTTTCTTCATTGGTGACATGGAAATGAAATTTTATAAAATATACAGGGTGTTTCAAAAGACATGTGCCATCTCTCGTGGGGAGATTCCTCACGTAAAAATAAAATTTATTTTTCATATCAACGTACATAATATTGTGTTATACCATTCTGCTTTGCTTTGTAGCTACAGGGTGTCATAGTCTTAATAATTTTTCGATTTATTATAATTTTCTTCCAAGTACTTTTAGTGATTCAAATGAAATTTTGAGGGTAAAAGATGACACATGTTTTTTGAAACAGTCTGTATAGTGTGATTATTGGGCTTCACGTTAAATGTAACAGTTTTTTTTCAAATGATTTTAATTTTTTTTTCTGTACTGTCCTGTATTTAATATACGGGGTGCGTCTCAAAAATTGCTCACCCTTATAACTTTTTTATTTTTTTAGTTAAAAAAACGAGACTTGGTATGTTAGTATATATAATAAATTAGGATTGATTGACGTATTCAATTGTTTTCTGTCACTTCCTGTTTCACCGGAAATGACTAAAACTTTTGATTTTTAAATGGCATCCTCGGTATTTTTTTACTTTATTCAATAGAAAATAAGACTTTAAATAGAATGACATATCATATGTCAACTTTTGACATTTTCGCGTATGGATTATTTCAAATTATAACTTGCGGTTTGTAACGAAAATTTGACTCGAAATACCAAGTGTGTGGTATCAAATTATTCGTAAAAAAATGCTTTTTCCAAATATGCTAATGAGCCACCCTCGTTCCATTTCAAAAATTTGAGATATCATTAAAAATACGATTTGACCATTTTCTAACCGGCCAGGACAAGACACTAAAAACATTAGACGATCAAATCTATTTTTCCAAGGCTCCTTGATTAGGCGTTTTTAATATAGCCGTGGCACTCTAGATTGAAATTTAAAATACAATTTTTTATTAAGTGAGAATATCAAAAGTTGACATATGATATGTCATTCTATTCAGAATGTCATTTTCTATCGAATAAAGTAAAAAAATGAGGATGGTGCCATTTAAAAATCAAAAGTTGTAGTCATTTCCGGTGAAACAGGAAGCTACCCAAAACAATTGAATACGTCAAACAATCCTAATTTTTGTCATGTACTAACATACCAAATCTCGTTTTTTTATCTAAAAAAATCAAAAAGTTATAGGGATGAGCCACTTTTGAGACGCACCCGGTATATATAATTTTACAGCAAATTTAATTTTGAAAATTATACAGGGTGGTGCACCTCATTGGCCTCGGTTGATTATACGAAAACGGAAAGTTGCAGAAACAAATTATTTTATTGGTATATGTATGTGGGGAGGCAATGTGCCCAATTTAATTATTTTGAAATGTACAGGGTGTTTCAGAACTAAAATCCATTTTTTCTTATAGGGGGAACACCCGGTATTTTATTTTATATTTGGATCCTTGGACACAAAATAAGGCATGTATACATGGTGTTTCAAAACAAATGCAAAAAACTTTAGGGGGTGATTCCTTGTTCAAAATAAAGGGTAGTTTGCTTTATAAACGTTGGGTCAAAAGTCAACCATTAGGGAGATATCGCGGTACAGAGATGGCGGAAAAATAATGTTTTTATTTTTTATCTTGAAAACAAAAAGAGATAGACTAATGAAATTTTATGAAAGCATTACTGTTATGAAAACACACTTTCTGGTCATTTTTTCACTTTTTTAAAATGAGTGGAAGGGGTTGAAATAAACTACCCCTATCATTCTTGTTAACGAAATTTAAAGAAAAATCTTATCAAACACATGCAAAAAAATTAATTTGGATAGTTTAGTTTGTTTAGAAACTTTTTTATCTCTTGTGTTTTTTTGATAAAACTCACCGATTATTAAAAAATAAAATGTAAAGCATTACATGTCAGGACAAAAAACATTTTTAGATTAAGAATCTAGTGATAATAACGATAATAATAATCATCTAGATAATAACGTATTATGTCAAATACATAATAACGTATTATGTAATATGTCAAATAAAATAATATTAGGAACATCCTAAAAAGTAACAGCGGCCGACTAGATTTTTTCCTAAAAAAATTACAGCAGCCCGCTAGATTCTTTATCAGAAAATGTTTTTTGTCCTGGCATGTAATGCTTTAAATTTTATTTCTTAATTTAACACAAAGAGAAAAAGTTTCTAAACAAACTAAACTATCAAGTAATTTTTGCATGTGTTTGATAAGATTTTTCTTTAAATTTCGTTAACAAAATGATAGAGTGAGTTTATTTCAACCCCTTCCACTCATTTAAAAAGTGAAAAAATTGTCAATGTTTTCATAACTGTACATTGCTTCCATAAGAATTTTATTGTGCTATCTCTTTTCGTTTTCAGAGATAAAAAATAAAAACATGATTTTTCCGCCATCTTTGTATGCGATATCTCCCTAATTTAATATGACAACGTTTATGAAAAAACTGCAGGTTTATTTTAAATGTTTATCACCCAACAAGTTTTTTTTAAATAAATCAAAGCAGATTGAAACACCCTGTATAAAGGTTAAATATGTTTACAAGCTTTGGTTTTTGAGATATATAAAGATATTTAAATATGCATGCTATAATAAAAAAAAATGTCAACGCCCTGTACATTGCTTTTCAGAATTAATTCTTGTGCTGACTTTTAGCCAGAGAAATAAACTTTACTGAAAAATTTGATTGCTTCATTTAATATACCGGGGTATCAAAAATTGCAGGTTTATTTTAAATGTTTATTTACAACACCCTGTATTTTTTAAATAAATCAAAGCAGATTCAAATGCTCCGTCAAACTATATTAGGGTTTCCTATCTAGCTCAGATTTGAATAAAGAGCAATTTTTCAATAAAACGGCAACCAAGAGGGCTGATGTCGTGGCAAATTTCTCGTAATAGTTAGTATCTATTTTCTCAAATTGCAAATTAGTTTATGGACTTTATTTAAGTTTATAGCAGTTTACTTTTATTTAATTTAGCTACAATAGTTTAATAAATAATATTTATTAAATATTATATATTTGTTATTCTATCAAGAAAAACGAAAAAGTAGTATTTTAGTTTATTTTTCGACGACTTGTGGATATATGGTTTTCCTATAAAAGAGCCAATTACCGCAAATCAATTTTCTTCACTTCCAACGACAGGTTTCTGCCTAATAGGTTTTTTGTAAATCACACTACTAGCTCTGCAAGGAACGTTTATCACGAAGATTCCTATTTGGATATCTTTGAGCATAAGCCCTTAAGGCCAAGAAGCAATTTTCCTCACAAAATAAAATTACTAGTAACATATCCACTCGTTCCGCCAGCAGATACTGCTTTATTTTTCTTGATAAAATCACGACACCTAAATTTAACCTTAAAATCTAAAAAAGTATCCTTTTTTGTTATTGGAAATAAAAGTTTAGACTATTCGACATACACGTAGATATAAGTACTTCATAAATTATATAGAAAATTTCACACCTCTACTTTTCAACCAATAACGTGCTTTAATGTTGACTAGTTACCATGGCAACTGAAAAAATTTCCGGAAATTTTTTCGAGGCGCCACGAAACTTTAGTGGAAATTTTTTGACAGTTGAAAAGGTAAACATAAGATCTACAATCATAATGTGAATGAACTACAATGTCTATATATTGAAATATTACCCATTTGAGTTTTAGCATTTGATGTAACTAAGGTTGGTAATATTTTTTTATTTAAGGAAATATGTTAGATATACCTACATATGAATTTCTTCGAAATTGCCATGTTCTAAAAAATATAGTTCTGCCGCCTTTATTTAACTAAAGCTGGTATTTTTCTATTTAACGAAATATGATGGATATATCTATATGATTTTTTTAGAATTTATTTCATGTTGAATTATCTTCAATGCCAAATCTTTAATGATATCGACTAATATAGCAAAATAATAACGAAACACATTTAGTAATTATAGGTTTTATTAATATTAAAAACACAATTATTGTAAATGTTTGTAGGCTGGCTTGAATTGGTGGTTTGAATCTGGGTATTTTCTGTTTTATTTTGCATTGTGCTCTGATCATGATTGAACTGGCTAGTACTTGATGAAATGCTCCTCATGGATTCAATCATCTGTTGATGATGTTCAGCGTCCAACTGTAAGTAAGGTTTGATCGACTGACTATTACTATGTCCAGTAATTTTAATGAGCTGTTGTTCACCAACTCCTTCCTTGGCCAAATTCGAAACAGCTGTTGCTCTTGCAGAATGATTGGTTATTTTAACTTTTTTAGTGTCAATTCCTATATCTGAAGCTGCTGATTTAAACCATGAAGATACAATGTTCTTACCAACTGGGCTATTCTTGTACCATCCTTTCGAATTGGGTTGATTCCAGTATGGGTTTGGTGTTAAGAATAGTCTGTCGGTTTGAATAAGATTTCCCTTTTTTTCCATCAACTTTCTAAACAAGCGAACCGGACACATTTGTGGATTTTCGAAATTTCTAATCAACCATTTACTATCCGACAGTTCTTTAGGACCACCTTGTGTGGTTTTAGAGAAAATTGGATTATATTCTATCCGACCTTTTGGGTTTCCGAAATTATCAGTTTCTTCTTTGAAGTATTGGATACAAGCAGAATGTCCTTCCCCTCCTCTCCATGCCAGCTCATGTGAAACTATGTGAAAAAAATTTACGCTGCAACCCATCTGGAGTATTTATTTTCATCCCATTTCAATAATTTTTTTTGTATTCGTCACTGGTTAAGGCTGAAGCACTCACTTTTCTTTTGCTGAATCTCTCTGTAGTATTTTGCGCTTAGCATCGCATGCAGCTCTGGCGGTCACAAATTCCACATCAGAAAACGGATTAAATTTTATTTTATATTTTTCGTAATAAATTTCTTGCAACTGCTTAGCAGTAGAGTTCCACATCACTTTGACCACACTTTCCTTATAATCTTCAAAATTTTTCTTTTTCATATTAAATGCGTAGTCCTCCAGTATAGTAGCCAGCTGTACTACACTCATACACTCATGAATATTATACGACTTTTCATCCCAAAATTCAACAAACTGTTTCCATACACTTGATTTTGATTTTCGGGTGTTATCTGGTTTTATATTTTCAATTTCTTCTTTAATGACTTGTTGGTTTACTTTTTCCAAATCGCGACATTTCGCTATACACTTCTTACTCTACGTACAGACGTTTTAAAACTAGTAATAGCTTAATAACAGAATCGCAAACAAAAATGACAAAACACATAATATGTCAAAAAAATCAATACCTTGGCCAACTTAACAAATTGAAATTATTTTAAAATGTCATGTTGGATTAATATTTTTTTTTTCAAATTTAGGTGTGAAATTTTCTTACCGAATACCACGCAAGCTTAAATTAGTCCTGGAAATTTTCTCAAAAAAATTTCCGAAAATAATTTAAGCTCTTGTGATATTATAAGTGAAAATTTTTAACTTGCCTTACAAACTATCTGACCCTCCATTTTTAACCGGCAAAAATTAGGAAGCACAAACATATGGTCACTTTCCCGAATTTTTAACGGTTTCAGGATGACAATTTAAGCAAAGAAAATGTTATAAAACAAAGCGTAAGAACTGGCAGAATTAGATTTTTAATTATTTGAAACAATACTAAGCTATATTTTTAACTTATTTCCCAATAAATACGTTTTGTCCGACCACTGGTGTATGTCCGACTAATGGCTAATTCACCCTAATATATGTCAAATTTTAGACCACACATAATGATGTTGCTTCGATAATATGTGACATACTTAACGTAGCTGACGCAGTTACAACTCAAATTGATGGAGAAGATTTCAGAGATAGAGGAAATTTTTGTTATATTGTGAAAGAATGTGAAAAGGTAAAAACAACTGTATTTTTATATTCGTTCATTAATATGAGGAAGATGCATATATTTTATTTTTCGCCAGAAACTGTTCAATTTATTAGAATAAATATGTGTAAATGCAAAAAAAAAACTTTTTTCTTGAAAGCAGTACCACAATTTTATAAAACGGGCCATTAAAATACTATGGATAACGCAAACGACGCCTCGCGAATTGAAACGATATTCTATTGGTCTGACGTCACCCGCCGTTCGCGATGGCCAGAGCAGCAGCCAGACGTGTTCCGTTTATGTACGTATTTAGGTGGCGTACTAAGACATTTTTGTTGCTTTTAGCGTTGATTGAAGGAGCTTTTTATGCTTTTTTGTGCAGTTATTATTTGTATGTGTTGTGTGTTCTGAGAATTTTTTAAGTAATGGCAGATTCCGGGTTTGTAAAAGCTCAATCAGATAACTTGCTAAAAGTCGATGCTTTTATGTTGGCTGCTTTAATAAATACAAATTCCCAATTTATTGATGCTGAATTACGAGGAAAAAACAGAGAGGCATGTAACATTTATTCTTTGTAGTACTGAGGCATAGTTAAGTATAAGTAGGTACCTACTGTTACGAACTTTTATGTGTAGTTATAAATTAATGTTATAAACTTATTTTTCAGATCAGGTAGGGAGACGTATGGAGATAATGCTGTAGGTTATGTAGAAGTGAAAAGAGGCAAAATATTTGTTTAGTACGTGGAAAAATAACTCCAGAGCATAGCGTGAAAAAGAACGTTTTTTTTATATATTGACACCCCCTTACCTTGTTATTTTTAAAGATTGTTTTTTTTTACGAAATTATAGGAAATAAGTTGTTTATTAGTAATGAAAATATTATACAAGGTGTCCCATAAGCAAACGCCAAAATTAAGTTACTTTTTTAAGTGAAACACCCTATATATTTTTGGATTCTTCGGAAATTTCTAGATATTCTAGATACATATATTTCATATATAATTTCTTATACCTATCTTCAAATGTTTACGAAATATTGACAGTTGAAAAGCGAAAAATACCTACAATTTTCTGCACCGCCTTTTTTGAGACACCCTGTATAACTAGAATTCATTTTAAAAGAGAGTATATGAAAAACCATGCAACTTTTTTATTTAATGTTTTCTTCTAAAACTTGCAGTTAAGGCTGTATGTGGGTATTAAAATATAATGAATAACCCTGTACATTCAAATTTCATATACCTATGTAAGACAATATACATAAATACATACACGAACATATACATAAATAAATACACGAGCCATATTTTTTAATGTAGTTTTTATGAAGGTCTTTTGTGTACCACGTTAAGTAAGTTTTTACTTTTAACTTTTAGAACAATAATTGTCTAACATGTATTTTCATTTTAGTGTCCTGAGGAAGGAATAAATAAATTCCGAAAGCTTGACAATTAACAAAGCATATTAATTCTTTGTCAAACCCTTCCGACTGCAACCCCACTAGATCCTAGATTTTCTTTCTCACTAGTCAGTCGAGACTACTTTCTGCTTAAATATATGAATATATTTGCGTATTATTGTAAATATATGAACTTACATCAAAATGATCTTCACAACAATAAATCGTTTGGATAATTTAACGTTTTTCTTTTCATCTCTTCTCATTGCCTTGGGCCTTTTTTTTCTGTTTTCGCTCATCCATTACTATTTATAAATATCACTAATTACTAATTATGCATTAATTAACACAAATAACCAAAATTTTGACTCGGATTCAACAGCGTTTAAAAGCAAACTGTGTAAAATAAACGCGTCTGGCTCCACTCAACCAGAAGAACGGCGGGTGACGTCACAGCGGCAAGGCGCGGTAGAGAGGGTTTGCCCGGCCATTTAAATTAACAATATTTAATTATTTTATATTAGAGGCATTTCTTAATCGATATCAACGATTTTTTTTTGTTCAATTTTTAATTATATGAACTATTTTTTAAAACCATTATTTAAAAACATGCATTTTCCTCATTAGATATTTTTAGTGTTAAGTGTAAGTTTTAGTGTTAGGGCTAAGGTCGGAAGCAGGAACCCACCAATAAAGTTGTATTGTTTTTTAGTTTTTATCAGATAAATTGCTAAAGGAGAGATTGGAGATAGACACATTACAAGAAGTAGGGATATTAAAAAATAAAACATTTTATTCAAAATTTATTAAGATCAAGACAAAACTTTAGTAAGTATAAAATTATTTAAGTTAGTAAGTATACAATCATAAAAGTTAAAAACAATTATTTGATATACGAGCGTTTATACATCACAGTCGTAAGCATAAGTTAGTAACCTTAAGTTGGTAAATTTTAATTTTTATTATTGTGATTATATGTTATTATGTTAGAGAACATTATTTATTAATTTTTTCGTTTCCATGTTTAATAATTGTGATTATTTTCGTGTTTGATAAACCTGAGTAATAAAATTTAAATAAAAATACACTTCTAAAATGATTATGAAATAAAAAATTACAAGTTATGATTACGACTGTAGGTGCCTGCAACGACGTTCCGTAATCCTGCTATTAAAACATATTTAAATTGTGATTGTGCTTATGACTATGACTAAAATTCTGAATTAGGGATGTGATAATAGTCGTAATCATAAGATTACGACTATGTTGTATAAACCCAGCATAAAATTGTACCGTATGATCGAAAAAAAATTGTCGAAGATGGCTTAAGAATTGATGATAATTTTGGTGAGATCAATCTCTAGAATAGAAATTTTCAGTAAATGACAATTGACATAAAACTTGTCAAAAATTAATACTAATAATAGAAAAAATAAAAAAAAGATACAAAGTTTCCAGACACAAGTCATTACCAAAAAATATTTTTCTTGAATTTTTATCTAAAAGAAATAAAAGATAAATTTGTTAAATAAATAAGTTTGTAAATAGATTTTCTTTTGTGTTATATCGTTATTTTTTGTTAATTAGTGTAAAATAAATTGTTAAATAATTTAGACTTTTTATCCACACGGAACAGACGAGAAACGTAACAATATCATAAATCATAATCTTAAATTTCAACATTAACTGCTGATACCTTGCTGATTTTCTGTTAGTCGATTTCTATTAATTTTTATAACAAAACCAGACACACTTTTTCTATCAGTTATGTTATTTCCAAAATCTGAATCTACAAATGCTTTTATATTTGTTTATTTGGATTATTACTTTTTGTATACTTTAAACCAAAATTCTGTGTTAATTTATTGCGTGTTATGTATTATGTTGTGTTTTTGCCAACTTTCTCTATCTCTATACCTAAAAACACTAATTTCTCATTGAAATATTTTAAAAGATTTTAACAGTTTATTTAACAAAATTTAGTGATTTAAATCATTAATTGTTGCACTATTTCTTACTGTCATGCTCAAGCAACTTCCTGAATTTATTATTACATTTATCAATATATAGTCTGTGAAACGAATAACTTTGAATTTGACCGTTCCCGCGGGATTTTCTGTGTTAATTTTATTAGGTTAGCAACTTGCGGCCATGCTGACGCAATGCCGTCTCTAATAGAACAGCCTCGGAGCGAGATTTATGACGTCACGCTAGTTAGATAGGTACTACGGATTAATAAATATGTTGTAGAATAGATGGAAAACATAATTATTCCTCGTATTTTTGGTTTGTATTTTAAAAATGATATAGTTTACATGAAATATATATATATATATATATATATATATATATATATATATATATATATATATATATATATATATATATATATATATATATATATATATATATATATATATATATATATACAGTATATATATACAATATAATATATATAATATACAAATGCAGCAAATCTTTATATATATAATGCAGCAAATCTTTTACAATATACAAATAATGAATAGGTACATAAGATAATGGGTAAAATGTAAAATATATTTTAAATTTTGGGGTTTGAAAATCGATCTAATTTAACAAAAAACATACATACCTACTAATAGTGATGCATTATTATTTGCATTCACAAAATTTATATGTATATTTTGCAAGTATCAACGTTCGAAAAATTATATTTGCAAATAATACAATATCATAGAAAAAAAAGGAGTCAGCGATGGCTACGAAATAAAGATCGTCATTTTATATGTAAAATTATTCTAAAATGTTTGATTTTCTTGGGATTTAGGTTCGGGGAAAATGCTAATTAAGTTTTCATTTGGGATTATTTTTTTTTTGTTTAAAACAAAACGTTTCGGCTAACGTTATAGTCTTCATCAGTGTTGTGTCATATGAAAAAAATAGTGTCGAATATAATCCAAAAAATTACTTAATTAAATTTATTAATCCGTAGTATCTAACTAGCGTGACGTCATAAATCTCGCCCGAGGCTATTCTATTAGAGACGGCATTGGTCTGATATTTCGAAATGTCAAAAGCTGATGAAATTTTACTTTTGATAATTATGACATTTCGTGTTGATTTTTGCAAGAAGTGGAAGAACTGTCACTTGGTTTATTATTTTCCTTTTCTATTTCACGAAAGTAAAAAGAGTTACCTATCTGATTCGTTCAGGCACTCAATTTAAAGAATATCAGTAACTTTTTTGACAGAGGGATTTTATATTTGCCATGTTGGTAAAAAATAACGGTCAAAATTCAAAGTTATTCATTTTATAGACTATAACTTATGTACAAATAAAAAACGTTTAATATTGCAAAGGAATAAATAAAACACTTACTGAATATACCTTAAAAATTGGATAATTAATTTTAATCTTATTTTTTTAAACCGGTACCATACCAGTCTATATGTAGAAACCTGTACTTTAATATTTTTTGCGCCGTCTGGGGATATGGAACAAACTAAATTTGTAGTTCTATACAATTACTATTGAGCATCTAGGGTCTGGTATGGATCAAGTAAATGAAACCTTGGGCTTGACGTCGCCAAAATTATCGATTTATCAATTTAAATTAAAAATAAATATTTTTAACATGCACTATTTATCAAATTTTTACATATTAGTGCAAAATAAAATTGAGCTATTTAGACTGCTTAATTTTTGAAGAAGTAAAATTAAGTTTTACAGTTAGCTCACAGATTTATTTTATTTTTGTATACTGTACAGGGTGGGTCAAATTCGACGCTTTTAAATGGAAACACCCTTTTCTATATGAGATAGACGAAAACTAATATCGGTGTCTGGAGCTCAATTTTCATCAAAAACATGATGGTGAAAACCGCACATCAATATCTGTTACCGTTTCGGAGTTACGGGGTGTTTTTCAAAAATGTGCATTTTAAACAAATCGCTGTAACTTTTTTGCTATGGAAAATTTTGTATTTCTATGAAAACATTTCCTAATCACCTTTTTACGTAGAATTTAATGGTTTAAGTATAATTTTTTTTAAATTAATAATTTAAGAGTTATCAACAGAAAAATTTATTTTTTATTTGGGACACCCACTCTATATTTTTAATTAACTGGAAAGAATTTAAAATTACCTTTCCAAAAATATAGCACACTTGATATTTTGTTATAATCCCCTTCGAAATACAGAATATTTAAACGTTCGCCACTTTTAACTAGTAGGCTTTGGACCCCTTATTAATGATATGCCCCTAATGGAACTCGAAAACATATTTTTCCAGCAAGACGACGCACCGCCTCAGAACACTGAAGTTATCAGCAAATTTTTGCAGCCAATTTCAAGAATAATTGAATAGCTAACCAAGATCCCAGCCGTTGGCCGTCGAGGCCGCCTGACTTAGTGCCCATGGATCTAATCCTATGGATATATTTGCGGAAGAATAAAGGTTCCTTATTCTGCCGTATAATCTAGACAAGAATTAGAAATACTTAGCAGTTATGAGAGGGTATCTTTCACCCCACTGAGTTAATGAATTCCGCGAGAAATGTTCAAAAACGGCCCCGTCTGTCCATAACAGAAAACGGTCGATATGTCGAACACCTGTAGCAAAAGCTCATGTCTTGGTTTGCTATTTATTTTTATTGTTATTAGATATAGTTTAAATGTGTTGATGTTGGTTAAATATATTTTAAATTGTTATAAAATTCTGCGTCTCTCATAGCAAATATTATTTTTGTTTTAATTGATTCTCACATCTAGAATTTTTTTGCATTACAGCTGGTGCCGTTCAAAGCCTACTTAATTAAAACGGGCGAAACTTTATATACTCTATATCTCGAAGAGGAATCGAGCAAAATATCAAGTGTGTTATATTTTTGGAAAGGTAATTTTAAATTCTTTTCAATAAATTAAAAATATACAGGGTGTCTCATATAAGAAATCAAATTTTCTGTTGATAATTCTTAAATTATTAATTTGAAAAAAAAATATACTTAAACCATTAAATTCTACGTAAAAAGGTGCTTTGGAAATGTTTTCATAAAAATACAAAATTTTCCATAGCAAAAAAGTTACAGCGATTTGTTAAAAATGCATATTTTTGAAAAACACCCCGTAACTCCGAAACGGTAACAGATATCGATATGCGGTTTTCACCACCATGATTTTGACAAAAATTGAGCTCCAGACACCGATATTAGTTTTTGTCTATTTCCTATAGAAAAGGGTGTTTCCGTTTAAAAGCGTCGAATTTGACCCACCCTGTACAATGTACAAATATGTAGTCATTATCATAGATCTGTAGATTATGACGATAATAGTTCAGGACAGTGAAATTAGATTACTACACATGTAAAGGTGCGTATTCATTATCCGAACGAACGAACGAACGAACGAACGAATGAAAGTGCGGTATATTTAGACGGGGACCGAACGCATGCGGCCGTTCGTTCGGTCGTGCGCTCGACCATCCGCTTCGAGCCGGTACACCAAAGGCGTTCGCCTGCGTGCGCTTTCAGATTTAAGGTGCGTATTCATTATCCGAACGAACGAACGAACGAACGAACGAATGAAAGTGCGGTATATTTAGACGGGGACCGAACGCATGCGGCCGTTCGTTCGGTCGTGCGCTCGACCATCCGCTTCGAGCCGGTACACCAAAGGCGTTCGCCTGCGTGCGCTTTCAGATTTAAGGTGCGTATTCATTATCCGAACGAACGAACGAACGAACGAACGAACGAACGAATGAAAGTGCGGTATATTTAGACGGGGACCGAACGCATGCGGCCGTTCGTTCGGTCGTGCGCTCGACCATCCGCTTCGAGCCGGTACACCAAAGGCGTTCGCCTGCGTGCGCTTTCAGATTTAAGGTGCGTATTCATTATCCGAACGAACGAACGAACGAATGAAAGTGCGGTATATTTAGACGGGGACCGAACGCATGCGGCCGTTCGTTCGGTCGTGCGCTCGACCATCCGCTTCGAGCCGGTACACCAAAGGCGTTCGCCTGCGTGCGCTTTCAGATTTAAGGTGCGTATTCATTATCCGAACGAACGAACGAACGAACGAATGAAAGTGCGGTATATTTAGACGGGGACCGAACGCATGCGGCCGTTCGTTCGTTCGTGCGCTCGACCATCCGCTTCGAGTCGGTACATCAAAGGCGTTTAGACGTCATGGTACAAAGAATACACGGTATGATCGATAGCGGCTCCAATTTCGTTCAGTTCGCGCATACCACCTGTGACGTCACTAGGAAAATGAGGAATAAATAAAAAATAAAGAAAGTTGACAGGAGATCTGCATTTTTGAGGTTATGGTTAAGAATTTTTTATTTTTAAGACTTTTTAGTTCGTTTAATTTAATAATTACTAAAACCAGCAGTTCCAAAAATATATTTAAGAATAATAATTATATATTAACATGGATTTGGACGATAATAGGTAAAAATACTAAATTTATTTCTATATTCGGTATAAAATTGTTTATTCGGTTTTTAGTTTGCGATGTTTATGGTAAATAATTTTATTTTCATTGCCTCTGAATTCACATGAGGACAGAGTTGAGGATATCTATGGAAAAGTAACCACAAGAGGAATTGTTACATCATTTAAAAAATATTGGGAAGTTTATTGTTTCCCATCGAAAAGTAGAAAATGCCAATGCAGATGAACGTATTGTAATTGTGATAGAAGTAATTCTAAGGGTGAAGTTTATTATAATTAGTGGAAGTAATACCAAGGGTGAAGTTTATTATAATTAGTGACCTCTGCTTCTTTTTATATGTAGAAGTTTCTGGTTTTGAGAATAAATCGGTTGAACGACACCCAAAATTTAAAGGAAGTATTTGCATACCCAGAATATGCCCATCAAGGATTATATAGCTCAAATTTCCTTTAATGGTAGGCAATTATTCAATGCAAATTAACTTTTTAAGTGACTAAAATATTAAATAGTTTACAATATGGTATATCACTAAAAATATATTACTTTTAGGTACAATTAGGGCCCGATACATTTCAAAAAGTAGAATATTATTTTATATTAAATGAGGTATTGTACTAACAATCAATTTATATTAATAACGGAGATTAAAAATAACAGAATAAATAGTTCTTTTTCTTATACTACAAAAATAAACTATAGAATACAACAGTATTTAAAAAAAAATAAAAAGTGATGTTCCGGCCGAGATTCGAACTCCGGTCTCTCGCTTTCTAGCCCGACTCCTTATGCACTGCTCCATAGTAACTTGCTTAGCGATAATTCAATGACGGTATATAAACAAAAAAAAACAGGTTTATAACAATATCTTGACGATTTGAACTGGCGCGCGAATGAAGAAATGCGTGCGGTCTTCTCGTGCGGTTCTATCGTGCGGTCCCCGTCCATACCACTAGCGAACATTCGTTCGTTCGTTCGTTCGTTCGTGCGGATAATGAATACGCACCTTAAGAAGTATATTCGTGCGTTAATATGATAAAAAGATAACAATAATATTTGTTGGGGAACAATAAAACTCATTATTTTGTTAGCGACTTTTGCGCACAAAAACAGTATTATTTAGTGATATCTTATTATATTTAATCATAAACGATAGTTTATTCGTGTCCACACTGTAAAATCTATGTCATAACATAGAATTGACAGTAATTCTAATTATTACCCATATAATTTCCAGTTACAAACAAAGAAAATTTAACTTGTTCAGAGAAGAATGTGAAGGTTTTGCCAAACTGCAAACAGAACTAAACAAAGAATTTGATAAAAGAACTCAAGCAAGTGATCTGATCGATATTGTTCATTCTTTAATAGGTATTTATTGCCGTAATTTATAGTTATTGTTGTAATAAACGATACGTTTTTAGGATGCTTTAATTTAGACCCAAATCGAGTATTAGACGTTATTTTAGAAAGTTTTGAAAATAAAACAAAAAATTCACATATATTTGTACCATTAATCAAATCGTACATGAAAGATCCAACAATAATAAGCGAAGTATTGTGTACAAAACTAGCTTTCTTAAAAAATTGTCAAGACGAAATTCCACAATCATTTTATGTATTAATTGCCCATCTTCTTCAGCATTCCCTAATTTATTTGGATGATATCTATTATAGGGTAAGTATAATAATTTCTAATATACATATACATCTACTTGAATTTATTAAATGCCGAAGTAAATTAATTATCTTAATTCTAATGATAATAATATGCTTTATAACGGTACAGCATGTCCCATATTTTCTGTTCTTGCCACGTTATTGAAAATAAAGGAAAAACGTTGGCTACTTTTTCGTGAATCTTATGATTCTGTTATAAATATTATCACAGATTAGGTATCCTATAAGTATACAGATAAAAATCTTGTCCCTAATTCGTGGTACGAAATTGTTTTTTATGACGATGTGCAAACGAGTCAAATTTCCTGTGCGCAAAAATAAACTCGCGTAAAATAACAATAAACAGCGTAATAGAGAGATATCGCTAAACCGAATAGCGTGCATGATCGTTAATAAGGCCAGGTGTTATTTCCTTTACGTGAGGTGGTATCAACTCTCTTCATTTATAGTTATCGGATCGGAAAGAATCCTGTTCGCGTCGCGTCCGCTATTTAAACTTAACCTAACTTTGAATTTAAAACTTTGAAATTGTTTTGTTTGCCAGGTATTTTAAAACTAAAGGGCTAAAGTGCTTATTTCCAGTGCTTTATTGTTCAACGTCTGCCAGTGGGTTTAGGGCAACAAGCAACAAATTCTCTTAGAAGGGCTGAGTCGTCATCTGCTGTAAACCTAAGCCTCTTTATAGATTCTTTAATATTGGAAGAGGTGGAATCCATATTTTGGGCCATATTTATTTAATTAAAACTAATCCCGGTTACTTAAATATCAAATTACCTAATAAAACTTAAGTAATAATTCAAAACAATTCAAACATAACCTAAAATAAAAGATCTCGCCCATCTCGCCGGCCGGCCCCGGTTTTCAAATACCCGCACATGCCCATTTAGGCAATTTTTAAACGTTATTTAGAAATAGCGCTTGGTGAAATTGATCCGCAAATTACGTCAGGCGGTACCGTTATTGGCGGGTGTTGCGTTAAAAATTGACTCGCGCATATCGTAAGCAGGATAAGGTACGCGTAAATACTGCATGACGCTATTCGGTTTTCCGATATCTCTCTAATAACTGTGCCGGTCAGGCGCTGTGAACAATTTTAGAGGCCATAAGTGGGCGTGCTATGTGCGCAAACCTTTGAATAAGAAGACTAAGGAAGGAGCATATCAAAAATCTTAGGTACACCGCGATGGGCCTCAAATATGGCCGACTTAAATTCTGGTTTATCAGTGTCGTTCTAATTTTATTTAAAAAATGTAAAACTATGATGTAGGGTAGACGTGGGGTAGACTCAATAATTTGTTGTTTTATTTTACGTTGTGAATAAATGTTGGTAGTTATTAAAATTGTTATAAAAATATATAATTCTAATAAAAATAGATAAGTTATAATAAGTATTTATTAACACAAACATCCGATACGCTACTGAAGCAGGTAAGTCAAATTAACGTATCTAAATTCTTTGACATCTAATCTTTGACAAGTAATAAATAAAAGCTAAAATGCAAGAAAAATATATAATTTAGTTAATTTAAGTGAATTTCATAAATGATCGGTTTACTACACGTATGTATATTATATAGTCACTTACTAGCGAAAAGTTGTTCCATTATTTCACTCAATATTTGCCGAGATCTACCGCACGCCTACGATAGTGTCACTGTTAATTTAAGTTCTGCCACAATTTCCATCTAGATTTACTACCTTTATACAACTATCAGTAGTAGAATAAATAATAAATAACATAAAATAAGCTCCGTAAAGACTGACAAATCCACAAAATTTCAAATCAAATTCAAATGTGTCAAATGAATCATCAAACAGAACTGTCAAGGATCCCCACCCTAGAGAGCTTTTATGGTGGCTTTTCCGCCCACCATGCATGAATACATGGATAGCATTATGCTCCTTCCTTAGTCTTCTTATTCAAAGGCGCAAACTAGTAACCTAAATAGTGCCCGATTCCGAAAATTGGAACCACGAAAAACAATAAAGAAAAAACAAAGTTTATAATCTGTATAATCTGTGATATTATCATACGCAGTTTTAGATATTATCTAATTCATTACCAACTATTAGCATTTGCTAAATTAAAAATTTAAAATATTTCAATCATTTTTTTAATTTAATATTTTTTAGTTAACACCGGACGATAAGAGCATACAAAAAGATTATGAAACTTCGTTAAAATGTGCAAAAGAATATGTTAGAAAACTGCAAATAATTTCGATTAACAATAAAGAGAAAGAAGACGATAAAGATGAACCGGAAATTGTGGAAGACAACTATACCAATAACCAGAAGCTAGGTAAGCGTAATCGAATATTTTAATAATTGAAATATAAAAAACGATCAATTTTAGGTCTTTGTGAAGCATTATTACTTATCGGCGACTGGAAAACAGCCGATACTTTAATAAAAAGATTACCTGAACATTATGCAGTTGGTTTTAAACCTATAGCATTGGCATTATGTAGACTTTTACATATAATTATTGAACCTCTCTATAGCAAGTATGTATTAGTATATTTATGCGTTGCAAATTGTTTTTTCGCGCAACTGGTTTCTAACGTTTTTTAGGATCTAATTTAGATACAAATTTGCATTTTTGTTTGGTTAAGCAAATTTGTTTTAGGAGTAAAAAACCATTGTTAATTTTTTGGGGGTAGAGATTACTTTGATTCCGGTGATACGTTTATGCCTTGAGTCTATATGAAAATTTTAAATATGAATACCTTAAAGATAAGATAATATAATGTATGTATGTGCTTATTTTAGGTATTGTATTCTTGGACCGAAAATTCAACGCAAACCAATTTTACCACATGAAAATCCTTTGGCGCCCAGTCCTGTTGAAATTTTCGACGATCTCAAAGACAATTTTTTTCCAATGGTTGCAACGTTGGGGTCTTCATTACACTACGATCCAGTTTTACTCAGTAAGGCTCTTTTTCATAATTGTTAATAGCCTAATAACTTGAGATAAGAAAATAACGAAATGAAACTTTTGGCGCAATTAGTTTCTATTTGACGAGTAGGTGATGAATAGTAGTCCTACTCATAAATTGTAAATGCAAGACCACTATCCCACCATCGCATCGCCCGCCGGTCGTTCCGTAGCTCGCAGCGTTGCCGATGCTACTTCGCCGTGTCCGTCGCCATGTTGCCATTTTCCTTCGCCTCGGAAAAATCACTGTTTACAATATCGTGGCAACTATAGTCTGTGAAACGAATAACTTTGAATTTGACAGTTCTCGCGGGTTTTTCTAGTGTTAATTTTATTAGGTTAGGCAACTTGGCGGCCATGCTGACGCAATGCCGTCTCTAATAGAACAGCCGCGAGCGAGATTTATGACGTCACGCTAGTTAGATAGGTACTACCGATTAATAAATATGTTGTAGAATACATGGAAAACATAGTTATTCCTCCTATTTTTGGTTTGTATTTTAAAAATGATATAGTTTACATGAAATATATGTAATATACAGTTAATAAATACAATATTTTGGCAAATAAACTATGAACCATACAGATGCAACAAATCTTTTACAATATACAAATAATGAATAGGTACATAAGGTAATGGGTAAAATGTAAAACATATTTTAAATTTTGGAGTTTGAAAATCGATCTAATTTAACAAAAAAAACATTCACTATCTACTAATAGTGATGTATTATTATTTGCATTCACAAAATTTATATGTATATTTTGCAAGTATCAATGTACGAAAAATTATATTTGCAAATATTACAATATCATAGAAAAAAAGGAGTCAGCGATGGCTACGAAATAAAGATCGTCATTTTATATGTAAAATTATTCTAAAATGTTTGATTTTCTTGGGATTTAGGTTCGGTGAAAACGCTAATTAAGTTTTCATTTGGGTTTTTATTATTTTTTTTGGTTTAAAAAACAACGTTTCGGCTAACATTATAGTCTTCATCAGTGTTGTGTCATATGAAAAAAATAGTGTCGAATATAATCCAAAAAATTACTTAATTAAATTTATTAATCCGTAGTATCTAACTAGCGTGACGTCATAAATCTCACTCCGAGGCTGTTCTATTAGAGACGGCATTGGTCTGATATTTAGAAATGTCAAAAGCTGATGAAATTTTACTTTTGATAATTATGACATTTCGTGTTGATTTTTGCAAGACGTGGAAGAACTGTCACTTGGTTTATTATCTTCCTTTTCTATTTCACGAAAGTAAAAAGAGTTACCTATCTGATTCGTTCAGGCACTCAATTTAAAGAATATCAGTAACTGTTTTGACAGAGAGATTTTATATCTGCCATGTTGATAAAAAAATAATGGTCAAAATTCAAAGTTATTCATTTTATAGACTAATAATATATAATGCAAGCTTTTAAATATTTGCAAACCCATCCCGATATAATAAATTCCGTTATAAAAAAAAGAAAAATATATTCAGAGATTCAAAAGTAAAATATATCAATTCCAAATAAAATTTTAATATGTGTATGACTATTTTAGTGAATACCATTTTGATTTTTTGATATTTATCACGGCCTACTAATAAGAAAATGATATATTTTAAATATTGCAGTAAATAATGAAAATAAATATATGGTGATGATTTATAAATATACAAGGTGTTCCATTTGAAAAAACATAACTTTAGTTCATATTTTCAAAAATAGTATTTTTGTTGTAAAACAGACTACGCCATAATATTCTACATAAAAAGTTCTATAAGAATCAGTTTTCACCTTCTCGATACCATCCGTAATAATGGAGATACGGGGGCTGTTCCAAATTGCAAAATTTTCGAAAAGACCCTGTAGTTCAGAAACGAAGAGGGCTATGAAAATTTTGTTGACAGCATCTGCCGTTTGACAAAAAAGTGGGACAGGTTTGTGCAAACCGCATCGTCCTATCTTTACTAATAACGGAGATACCGTTTCAACCAAAATGGGACACCCTGTACAATTATATTATGTTTTAGGTAAAATTGTAAGGATTTCTAAAGCTGCTCTCCGTCATATGGGACTAGAGAATGCAAGAACATCTCTAATTGTAGAAAATGCTTTATATTATGATATAATCTCTATAATCGATTTATCAATATTCCCTTCGTTATCATATCTCGAATGCAACTGCTGTGTAGCTGAAGAAGTCTGGACATTAATGAAGCTATATCCATATCAAATAAGGTAATTTAATTTTATTACTTTCTGATTATCTATAGCTGCTATAATAAAAAAAACTTGGGGATTTTGTTCAGGTAGAACGCCCAACATGCTCAAGGTAAATAACTAAAGCTAAATGATAATTTTTTTTTGCACACTGTTGCAAGATCCTGATATATTAATGAAATCCGAGATGATATCATTGTTTAATATTGATTATCCTCTAATGAGTGAGTAACAGTATTCTCACAATCATGTATTTTTTTTATTTAAAAAGTTTTACCATAGTTTAACGAAAAGAGTAGTTGCACTCTCGCAAATATTTTCTGCCAGTTTTTGCATGCTATCGAATACCGGCAGCTTGCAAAGCGTTTCAGTTGAATTCGGTCCGTCGAGCTGTGAGGTTCGAGCGTTGCGTCCGAGCACAAGGACGCATTGACAAAAAATGAGTGCCTTACTGTGCGCTGCTATTAATTGTGGAAATAATTCAAAAAATTGTTCTTTGAGTCTTTTTAGATTTCCATCGGATGTAAATCGGCAAGCTGATAGTAATTATCAATTAACATTTAATTATATTTGTTTATTTTAGAAACTGAGATATTATGTAATTAATTAAATGTTATTATTTTTTTTAGCATGTGGGCAGATTTTAAAGATAGTTTTTTAGATATACAGGTTGTCTCAAATATGCGCATGAAAATATTTTTTGGTCAGGGGATTTTCCATAAAATTTTCATTCCAATAATCATTTACGAGATAATTTATATAAATTGGTTTTTGAAACAGTTTTAAATATTTTGTACATCTAAAGTCTCCGCAAATTATTCATATTTTTTACTTGAAAGAATTTTATAATAGCATAATCTCATATAACTTTAGTGGACTGTATTTTTTTATGTTTTCTTTATTTATTTTTTATTATAAGTGGTCGTAATATAACAATATTCAAAATATTATAGACACAATATTGAGTTTATATTTGAGGGAAGAAAAGTGCCACACCTAGCTTTAAACCACCGTAAATATACAGGGTGACCCATTAGTGCGAGGAAGTTCAATATCGTCGTCGTTGTCGAAGATGTGAAAAAAGTTTTATTCGTATGTTTCAAGATTTATAAAGGGGTGTATCCTAAAATATTTTGTTATATGCAGGGTGTCACAAAAAAAGTTATGGTAAAGTTAGTTTGATTTTTTTTATTATTTTACATCATTCGATATACATTATTCTATATTGGGTATTTTTTATGGCGTCACCAAAATCGCAATATTTAAAATGGTATATCTCAATTTTTCTAAATGCGACATTCTGTATATTATTTTTCTGTCAGATGCAGAATTAAAAAGTGAACATTTTTTGATTAATTTAAAGTGTTTCTAAATTTTTACCGCTGTCGCAGATATTCGCAGTATTATATTACATATGACTCTTTCAACAGTAAATTTTTTTCAAAGCCACCTAATATGATCTTTGTCTGTCTTGTCTTGTCAAAAAATGTTTACCTTTTAATTCTACATCTGAAAGAAACATAATATACAAGGTGTTGCATTTAAAAAAAAATGAGATACTACATTTTTTAAATATTACGATTTTGGCGACGCCATAAAAAATATCCTGTATACGATAAAGTAAACTTTTCTACACGAATTTATTCCGATATCCTTCATGTTTAAGAAAACATAGCAAAGTATTAATAAAGTTATATTCACTCTAGTTTTTTACCACTTTTCGTATATAATGTTTTTAACCAAAGTCTTATTAGTAAATAAGAAATAGAATGGCAACACCGCAGTGTGCTTTAAACAAAGACAGTGTACTATAGCATAATTTTATGCTGAATCCAGTTATCTACAGAAAATTAAACTTGCTTCCAAGTCATAGAAAATCTCTGAAATATGTAGATAATAATATAAAAATATGTCATTATATATTTTTCCGCGTTTCTTCCCATCAGAAGATTTTCAGATACAGAAGAATTGTTACCTAAACGAAATGTGAAAATATTCTGTTTTCAAGCAAGTTTTTACTCAATGATCATTTTTTTATTTTATTTTATTGTGAACTCATATTTTCCTAAATACATATCTGTGAAACTATGGCGAGTGCCACGTCTATACTTTGCCTAGTTAATAGACCACGACTATACAGCTACGTCGTCGGCTACGGAGGCGAGAACAAGGTCATATAAAGTGGCAGAAAAAGAACAAAGGATTTGACAAGGAGTAAAACTACTAGTTTCCTTATACTATGGTTTTACTAATGGGAGGGCGACATGTTTCGAGACGGTGAGGTCTCGTCTTCAGGCCCAAGCTAAAATATCATAGAACAAAGTAAAAAAGTAAAAAAACTTTATAAAAACAGTGAAATACATTAAACAAGTCAAGTAATAAAAAGACAAATACAAATTACATACAGGGTGCTACAAATTCGAGGTACAAGCTATACGAATATATACATGGTTAAATTGGGGCAAAGTTGTGCAACTGCACATTCTCATGGCCACTATATTAGTCCTATCTGATAGTAGTATTAGATTTTCAAAATAGCTGATAATTTGTGAGATACAGAGACCAACTTAATTTTCTTAAATACGGTCCTACATTTTTTATTTCAGATTTTGAAAGAATTCGGTCTCCTGGATATTTTTTGTTAGAGCCATTTTCCCCTATCTACCGAAATAAAGTGGTGGGGGAAGGTTAGATCTGTTTTTATTTGAATATTAATAACTCTGGACTGGATGATCGGAATCCAATAAGCGAGGGCTCGTTTAAAAGAGCGTTTCTTACTCTATATTGAACCATATAAACAATAATAATAAGCTTTTGAACGTAAACTCTACGGGGCGTTGTCTTACGATTTAACAAATATTGCGCGTTTTTTCAAAAAAATTAAATGCAATAGTATATGTAATTTTAGCTGATAGTAAAGAGTAGTAAAAGGTTAAAAACTCAGCGAAAACCGCATCTTGATATCTTCTTTCAAACCGAAGATATTAGCAAAATTATAATAAATACCAAAAAATAAGCCCTTAATTACCTTACTTTTACAACACGGTATCAGTAGCCCTGTTGATTATGCCCATTCTAACCTAAAAATAAGATAGAAACAGTTAGTTTATTTTAAAATGGACGATATACCAGAATATCATAATATCAGATGTATTAATATCTAATAATTAAGATATTAATAATAGTGAACAAGAAACGATGATTTAGTGAAGTCATGGTAGGCTTTGGAAAAAAGTTGCTTTTGACGTAATAGTATAAACGTCAAATTGTTATTAGATCAACATTTTGATAGTCTTAGAAGCGTTTTTTATCTTTTGATTGCTTTTTCAAAATGCCCCAACAACTTCAACTACTTCAAATAATAAAGGCATTTTGAAAAAGCATTTAAAAGATAAAAAAAAACGCTGCTAAGACTATCAAAATGTTGATCTAAAAAAAAAAAATACTTATACAACGAAGTCATACCTATAGCTACCAACTCTAGAACCAACCAAGTCATTAAAAGGTTAAAATTATGTATATTGAATCAGCATTTGTTATAGTCTATAAAATGAATAACTTTGAATTTTGACCGTTATTTTTTACCAACAAATATATTGGCAAATATAAAATCCCTCTATCAAAAAAGTTACTGATATTCTTTAAATTGAGTGCCTGAACAAATCAGATAGGTAGCTCTTTTTTCTTTCGTGAAATAGAAAAGGAAAATAATAAAACAAGTGACAGTTCTTCCTCTTCTTGCAAAAATCAACACGAAATGTCATAATTGACAAAAGTAAAATGTCATCAGCTTTTGACATTTCTAAATATTAGACCAATGCCGTCTCTAATAGAACAGCCACAGAGCGAGATTTATGACGTCACGCTAGTTAGATACTACGGATTATAAATATGTTGTAGAATACATGGAAAACATAATTATTCCTCGTATTTTGGTTTGTATTTTAAAAATGATATAGTTTATAAGGAAATATACATAATATACAGTTAATAAATAAAATATAATATATACCTATTTATAGTAATAAATACTTTGGCAAATAAACTATGAACCATACAAATGCAGCAAATGTTTTACAATATACAAATAATGAATAGGTGGTACATAAGATAATGGGTAAAATGTAAAATATATATATTTTAAATTTTGGGGTTTGAAAGTCGATCTAATTTAACAAAATACATTCAATATCTACTAATAGTGATGTATTATTATTGGCATTCACAAAATTTATTTATATATTATAATGTTTACTGCAATTAATAAACTAATATAAACTTGTCAAAAGATGACCATATATTTTTTTAAATTATTATTCTTAACACAAAAACTATCTACATTGACTATGGAGTACGATTTCAGCCATATTGTAAAACATTTGCTGCGTTTGTATGGTTCATAGTTTATCTGCCAAAGTATTTATTACTATAAATAGGTATGTATATATATTGTATTTATTAACTGTATATTATGTATATTTCATCTAAACTATATCATTTTTAAAATACAAACCACAAATACGAGGAATAATTATGTTTTCCATGTATTCTACAACATATTTATTAATCCGTAGTATCTAACTAGTGTGACGTCATAAATCTCGCTCCGAGGCTGTTCTATTAGAGACGGCATTGCGTCAGCATGGCCGCAAGTTGCTAACCTAATAAAATTAACACTAGAAAAGCTCGCGGGAACTGTCAAATTAAAAGTTATTCGTTTTACAGACTATACAAGTCTGTTCAGCTTATTATTAAAACTGATTAGTGGTAGGTACAGTGATATTTTTAGTACCACAAAAATTTTTTTTATTAAAAATTACTTTAGGTGTTAATTTAAGTTAGCTTAAAATTACTTTAAGTTAGCTTACAGTAAGTTAAGCTATTTTAACTTTCTCTGCCAATTTTATAATTAAACAATTGTAATACTTTTAACTATTTGTAATTTGTATTTGTCTTTTTATACTTGACTTTTGTTTATATATTTGACAGCTGTTATGAAGTTTTTTACTTCTTTTGACTTTGTTCTATGATATTTTAGCTTAAGCCTGAACATGAGACCTCACCGTCTAGAAACATGTCGCCCCCCCCCCCTATTTGTGAAAAAAATAATACAAGATTGTGAGGATACTGCGTTTTATTCCCTCATTACTCACAGTGAGTCAATGGACGTTTGTTAATTATTTAATATTTAGGTACAGTTTATATGCAAGATGGAAGAATGAAACTTATTCATCATATCCAGATTTAATGAAGAAGCGTGGAGATTCTGAAAAGCAAATTAAAAATATAATGAAGAGAGTTAGTAAAGAAAATGTCAAACCTGTTGGAAGATTAATTGGAAAACTGACACACTGTTCCCCTGGTTTTTTATTTGACTATGTATTATTGCAGATTCAAGTTTACAATAATTTGATCAATCCAGTAGTAGATTCCTTAAAGTATTTGACTAATTTGTCGTACGATGTTTTGGGATATTGCCTAATTGAGACATTATCAAATGCAGATAAGAAAAGGTACGTATATACCGATCGGGTCATTGTAAAAGCGTGGTCTGGATTTTAACGTGTAAGACAGTCATGTAGACAGCTTAATGAAAAATCAGGTTAGGTTGCTACATTTCATCTATGCAGTATTGCCGGATTTTACATCAAAATTTGAAACAGCACAAGTAGCTGTTTACGAAAAATGTTGCATCTAGGGTTGGAACTTTATTTTTCACAATTAGTTACTCATTTTACTACAGCTGTAGATTATATTTAGCTTAGATATATTATCTTTATTTCAGTAGTATACATGAAAGTTTTTAAAATACACACACCGGAAAAATCTAGGGATATCATTTTATTAAAGTTAAAAATAAATGTTTTGAATAAACAACCACATATTTGTAGGCCGATTCTTTCTACTTCGATTGAAACGAAGTAATCACACTAGTTATTTCTAAATTTGGTATATTTGCAGAAGTGTTTGTGCATTTTTTGTCAAATGTATAAAAAGCACCTAGCATCAATTATTCGAATTTAACCTGTACTGGCTATGTTTTTATGATAACTGGCCAGAATTCACTCAAATAACTCTGTTTAGTATTAAACGACATTATGGAGCGTAGACATCTTAACAGAGACGAAATGCTAAGGGCCATGGGTATGCTCGAAGCTGGAATGCGCCAAATCGACTTAGCTAGAGCATTAAATACAACGCAAAGTGTAATATCGCGATTAAGTGCACGCTACCGTGAAAGTGGTGATGTTGCTGAAAGGCACACAGGGCGACATCGTATTACTACCCCTCAGCAAGATCATTTTTTACAATTAAATGCTCGACGCCGACCGACTCTTACAGCACCAGAGCTTAGTTTAATTCTCCAGGAAACACATAATGTAACCTTTAGTCCTGACACTGTTCGCAATAGATTAAGAGAGGTCAACTTAAGAAGCAGACGCCCCTGGAGAGCTCAACCCTTAACGAGAGGAAATCGAGAGGTACGATATTTGTGGGCTCAAGATCATGTTCAGTGGTCGAATGAACAATGGGCCAATGTTCTCTTCACGGATGAGCCACGCTTTGGAATTCATCCGGATTCGAAAAGGCTTAGAGTATGGAGAAAACCGGAAAATCTTATTCGGTTGGATCACGTTCAGGAAGTGCACCCTTATCAAGGTGGAACAGTTATGGTCTGGGGAGGAGTCCAGTTAGGCTGAAAAACCGATCTCGTTTTTCTTGAAAGGTTTCTAACAGGAATCACATATCGTGATTTAATTCTTGAGCCTGTCGTGTTACCATATGCCAATGATTTTGGGAGAAACTTCATTCTCATGCATGACAATGCACGGCCTCATACAGCCAGAGTGGTAAGTGAGTTTATCAATGCTTATCAATTAAGCATCTTACCCTGGCCGGCACAATCTCCTGACCTCAACCCCATCGAGCACGTATTGGACGCGGTCCAAAGAAGAATTTTGAGAATCGGTATGTATGCCTCGTGAAACTCGTAGGGATCTGGTTCGGGCCGTGAATGCAGCGTGGCAGGCTGTACCTCAAGAAGAGATCGACAACCTGATCAGGAGCATGGAGAGACGATGTAGGGCTGTAATAAACAGTAGAGGAGGCCATACCCTTTATTAAGTAAAAATTGTCTTATCTTTTTTTTTAATTCACAGTTTAGAATAAAAAAAAATGTGTATTTTTCTGAATTCAATAAATATCAATATAAATTTGGAAATTTCGGTAAATTTCGCATTTTTATTTCCAATACGTCCTGTAAACTATTTGTTTATTTTAATTTTATTATATCAGAAATGGAAATAATAAAACTACTGACGATGGCTGGATAAAATTGTAATATCCCTAGATTTTTCCGGTGTGTGTAGTTTAGTTTTTCAAATTTATTTAAAGCTAAGATAATAATGGGTCGACAAGAGAAGGGTCTTTGGTCGACGTTTTCTTACATGGCTACAAGTGAATCGTTATGGCAGTGTTATAAGTCGGAGAAAGAAAAATGCTAAGTTATAACCTATCCACACCATATCCCTGCCTACACACGTAAAAAGGGGCAACACTGTATGCTGCTTTTTATTTTGTCTCTGTCTATCAACCAGTCATTTATATTTATCTTTGTCGCATGCATTAAAATACAAACCACGAAGATAAATTGCCCAGGACCGTATATTTTCCGTCTTAATAAATAAATAAATAATATTTTAAATATCAATTTTTTAAATCTAAAAAAATAAAATCTTTTTAAAAAATTTCGATCTTTTTTCAAACGATAAAAATATACTAAATTAATCGAAGAAATAATCCAGTCCTGATTCCTGAAAAATTCCGTAAACCTGATATCACATTAATGCTGATTTTAGGGTGAAACATGATAGCACCTCTATTTCAACTTGGTTGCAAAGTTTATCAAGTTTTTGTGGAGCAGTTTATAAAAAATATTCAATTGAACTAACGGGTTTGTTACAGTATGTTGCCAATCAACTCAAGGCCCAAAAAAGGTATGTCTTTTTTTATTACAAATACTTTAATACAGGGTGACCCAGACTTCCAAAAAAGCTTTATATTAGGTTTTTGGTAGTGATGGGTTGTTATTTAACTATCTGTTATTTTATAACAATTATTTAGAAATAACATAACGCAACCGTTACCACTTTTAAAAAATAACAGATATAAAATAACGACACGCAGATATCGACTGTTCGTGAAACGAAGTCGGCGATGCTGCTCGAAGCAATTCCAAAAAATAACTAGTATGGATGGAAAACATGTTATTTCGACAACCATCGATACAAGCGGCGAGATATAACGGACTACGGAGTGGGGCATGCGCTACGGCGCAGCGCGGCGCGGCGTGTTGGGCTTACAACAGCTTAAAAATAATAGGATATAAAAGAAGCAGCTTTTTTGAAACAGTTGCGGGCATAACGCCTGGCGGTCGAGATAACAGGAGTGGGAAAGGAACGCTGCTGCATCGGTCGATTGTCGATGGAGGCTCGCAACGGGTTGGAGAATAACGCATCAGTTGTTTTAGCTACGTTGTTTTTTAACCTGTTACGAGCATAACAGAGCGGCGGTCGAGATAATCGGAGTGGGAAAGTAACGCTGCTGCATCGGTCGATTGTCGATGGAGGCTCGCCACGGGTTGGAGAATAACGCATCAGTTATTTTAGCTACGTTGTTTTTTAACCTGTTACGAGCATAACAGAGCGGCGGTCGAGATAATCGGAGTGGGAAAGTAACGCTGCTGCATCGGTCGATTGTCGATGGAGGCTCGCCACGGGTTGGAGAATAACGCATCAGTTGTTTTAGCTACGTTGTTTTTTAACCTGTTACGAGCATAACAGAGCGGCGGTCGAGATAATCGGAGTGGGAAAGTAACGCTGCTGCATCGGTCGATTGTCGATGGAGGCTCGCCACGGGTTGGAGAATAACGCATCAGTTATTTTAGCTACGTTGTTTTTTAACCTGTTACGAGCATAACAGAGCGGCGGTCGAGATAATCGGAGTGGGAAAGTAACGCTGCTGCATCGGTCGATTGTCGATGGAGGCTCGCAACGGGTTGGAGAATAACGCATCAGTTGTTTTAGCTACGTTGTTTTTTAACCTGTTACGAGCATAACAGAGCGGCGGTCGAGATAATCGGAGTAGGAAAGTAACGCTGCTGCATCGGTCGATTGTCGATGGAGGCTCGCAACGGGTTGGAGAATAACGCATCAGTTGTTTTAGCTACGTTGTTTTTAACCTGTTACGAGCATAACAGAGCGGCGGTCGAGATAATCGGAGTAGGAAAGTAACGCTGCTGCATCGGTCGATTGTCGATGGAGGCTCGCAACGGGTTGGAGAATAACGCATCAGTTGTTTTAGCTACGTTGTTTTTTAACCTGTTACGAGCATAACAGAGCGGCGGTCGAGATAATCGGAGTAGGAAAGTAACGCTGCTGCATCGGTCGATTGTCGATGGAGGCTCGCAACGGGTTGGAGAATAACGCATCAGTTGTTTTAGCTACGTTGTTTTTTAACCTGTTACGAGCATAACAGTGCGGCGTTCGAGATAATCGGAGTGGGAAAATAACGCTGCTGCATCGGTCGATTGTCGATGGAGGTTTGAAACAGGTTGGAAAATAACGCATCAGTTGTTTTAGATACATATTGTTTTTCAACCTGTTACGAGCATAACGGGCGGAGGTCGAGATATTATGGCGCTGTATGTTTCAGTACTTTGTTATTAAGTTTCAATATTTAGGTATTTATTTATTCTGAAAAATTTTCAGAATAATTTAAGATTTTTTAAAAATTTATACAGGGTGTTTTGAAAAATCTGGTCATTGATTAATCACGATCCTGCTTAAAGCCCTTGACGTAAAAAGCTGATTTTTGGAAAACGGATTGACTTTAGGGTTTAGAGGTTCGATAAGAAGGGATTTTTCGAAACTCAAATTCTAAGGGTGTGAAACCACCCTCAAATATTAGAATATTTTTTATTTAAAAACTGGTGAGTTTTTCGAAAAAAACTCTTAAACACGTATATTTTATTTTGTTGTTTTACATACTTTGAGATTTTTAAAAAATATATACAGGGTGTTTCATAAAATATGACCACTGAGTAATCATGATTCTGCTTAAACTGCTTGACGTTTAAAGCTGATTTTTGGCAAACGGATTGACTGTGGGGTGTAGAGGTTCGATAAGGAGGGGTTTCTCGAATCTCAAATTCCAAGAGGGTGAAAACGCCCCTCAAATATTACAATATTTGTTATTTAAAAAACGGTTAGTCTTTCGGGAAAACGCCTGGACACGCATAATTTATTTTGTTTTTTTACATATTTTGAAATTTTTTAAAAAATCATACAGGGTGTTCCAAAAAGTTGAGTAATTGATTAACCACGATTCTGCTTAAACTGCTCGACGTTTAAAGCTTATTTTTGGCACATGTGAGAAAATTTTATCCAGTTTATATGTTAATGGAAATGCTTGTTTTGCTTTATCATCACCATTACAAATTATTAATTAGACGCGAACGCAGTCGCGGGTACACGCTAGTTTAAGTGTAAAATTAATTCGAACTCTAGTGTGTAGTTGGTTTACTTATGAAGAATATACTACACATTTTCTTATATTGCTATTTTTTGACCGCAAATGGTAAAATCATAACTAAGGGCTTCTCGCCCGTCGAGTGAGATGCACCCTGTACACTGCTAGGCAATTCAGGATCTACGCAGATCGAAGGGCAGGGCGTAGGTAGATCGGAATGTATAGGTATAGACGAGTGGCGGAATTTTGGCTTTTTTTATATCTCAATTTGTAAACAGCGCTTGTTTGTAAACAACCACCGTTTTTAGAGATGTATTTTAGATAACAATCGATATTTAGAAATGTTTTGACACCCTGGAAATACTACCACCGAGCACGTCATTGTTGCAACTTGCGACTGCGTTAATACGCCTGGCGGTGACCGTCTGATACTCTTTCAGATATTTAGCAGTAAAATAAAGAAACCTGTTATTTTTAAGCTGTTCTTTTAAGCTGTTTTTTATAAATAACTGTAACAGTTTCAACTGTTATCTAAAAATAACAGTTTTGCCCATCACTAGTGTCGTAATCATGTTAATATCAGAGATTAAGACATTAGCGACCGTGGGATAATTTGCGGTGAACAGGCAGTTCTAAAAAGTTTTCGAAAAATATACAGGGAAAGAAAATAAACGATTTTCAACATCTTTTTTTGTGAAAAAAAAACCTCATAGACGTGTTCCTAGGGTCGAAATATACCAGCCCCGAAAATATTTGCACTTATTTAAGATTCGCCCTGATGATTATAGATTTGCTTAATGCACATCAATATTTTTATCAAACGGATTTGTTTCATTTCAGTCTAGACTTGCTTATTTTAAAGGAAGTTGTTCAAAAAATGGCTGGTGTTGAGCCCTCAGAAGATTCAACAATGGATCAACTTAATGCTATGGCCGGGGGAGAGTTACTGAAAGGAGAAGTAAGTATAAGTTTTCAAATTATATACACACACCGGAAAAGTCTAGGGATATTACAATTTTATCCAGCCATCGTCAGTCATTTTATTATTTGCATTTCTGATATAATAAAATTGAAATAAACAAATAGTTTACAGGACGTATTGGAAATAAAAATGCGAAATTTACCGAATTTTTCAAATTTACCTTGATTTTTATTGAACTCAAAAAAAACACATTTTTTTTAATTCTAAACTGTGAATTAAAAAAAAAGATAAAACCATTTTTACTTAATAAAGGGTATGGCCTCCTCTACTCTTCATTACAGCCCTACATCGTCTCTCCATGCTCCTGATCAGGTTGTCCATCTCTTCTTGACGTACAGCCTGCCACGCTGCATTCACGGCCCGAACCAGATCCCTACGAGTTTCACGAGGCATACCCATTCTCAAAATTCTTCTTTGGACCGCGTCCCATACGTGCTCGATGGGGTTGAGGTCAGGAGATTGTGCCGGCCAGGGTAAGATGTTTAATTGATGAGCATTGATAAACTCACTTACCACTCTGGCTGTATGAGGTCGTGCATTGTCATGCATGAGAATGAAGTTTCTCCCAAAGTCATTGGCATATGGTAACACGACAGGCTCAAGAATTAAATCACGATATGTGATTCCTGTTAGAAACCTTTCAAGAAAAACGAGATCGGTTTTTCGGCCTAACGGGACTCCTCCCCAGACCATAACTGTTCCACCTTCATAAGGGTGCACTTCCTGAACATGATCCAACCGAATAAGATTTCCCGGTTCTCTCCATACCCTAAGCCTTCTCAAATCCGGATGAATTCCAAAGCGTGACTCATCCGTGAAGAGAACATTGGCCCATTGTTCATTCGACCACTGAACATGATCTTGAGCCCACAAATATCGTACCTCTCGATTTCTTCTCGTTAAGGGTTGAGATCTGCAAGGGCGTCTGCTTCTTAAGTTGACCTCTCTTAATCTATTGCAAACAGTATGAGGACTAACGGTTACATTATGTGTTTCCTGGAGAATTAAACTAAGCTCTGGTGCTGTAAGAGTCGGTCGGCGTCGAGCATTTAATTGTAAAAAATGATCTTGCTGAGGGGTAGTAATACGATGTCGCCCTGTGTGCCTTTCAGCAACATCACCACTTTCACGGTAGCGTGCACGTAATCGCGATATTACACTTTGCGTTGTATTTAATGCTCTAGCTACGTCGATTTGGCGCATTCCAGCTTCGAGCATCCCATGGCCCCTAGATTTCGTCTCTGTTAAGATGTCTACGCTCCATAATGTTGTTTAATACTAAACAGAGTTATTTGAATGAATTCTGGCCAGTTATCATAAAAACATAGCCAGTACAGGTTAAATTCGAACAATTGATGCTAGGTGCTTTTTATACATTTGACAAAAAATGCACAAACACTTCTGCAAATATCCCAAATTTAGAAATAACTAGTGTGACTACTTCGTTTCAATCGAAGTAGAAAGAATCGGCCTACAAATATGTGGTTGTTTATTCAAAACATTTATTTTTAACTTTAATAAAATGATATCCCTAGATTTTTCCGGTGTGTGTATTTTGTTTTCTTTTTTTTTATATATAGATGTATTTAAAATTGAAACAAATTTTTAGGCTGGCTATTTTAGTCAGATTCGAAACACAAAAAAGTCTTCGTTGCGTCTAAAGGAATCTCTGTCCGAAAACGACTTGGCCGTCGCTCTGTGCTTGCTCATGGCGCAGCAGAATTATTGTGTAGTTTATAAAGAAACTCAGAAAAGTCATCTAAAACTGGTTGGGAAGTTATCTGATCAGTGTCAAGATACACTTGTTCAGTTCGGAACATTTCTTGGTTCTACATTGTCAGTAGATGAATATGTGAATAAATTACCGAGTGTGCAAAGTATGTTGTTAGATTATCATATTCCTACTGAAGTTGCATTTTTTCTGGCGAGGCCTATGTTTAACCATGCAATTAATGTAAGTATTCAAATATGTTTTTATCTTTGAATCAAAGGTTTTTATAAATAGAAAAATCAGCAGTACAAATGTAAAGGGTCCGGCAATAACTCGTTTTTTAAGCTCAGACCTAAAGCATGCATTACAATGTATTTCGGGAAAATAATTAAACCTCTACAGGGTGGCTCAAAAAAGTGTGAGTGGATCAGGATTATTTTTTTTTAAATGGAACACCCTATATATTATTGCATTTTTGGCTTTCTTTCTGATCACTTAACATAATCCTAATAAGATATTATTAAATATGTTTTGATGATAGTTTCTGAGATATTAAATAAAAAAGGCATATTTTTTGATATTTTTTTAAAAAAATTACTATATAACGGTATGGAGGCCATAGACATTTTGATTTGCCAGGATTGGTGTGATTGACTATGTATTACAGTGTCTGTGGTAGTGGGTTTTCTGTAAATATCAAATTGTAATCTATTAGACTGTTTTATAATTGTAAAATCAAGAAAATTGATGGTATTAATACCTTTTTCAATAGTAAATTGTATTCTCGGGTTAATTGAATTTAATAATGTTAAAATTAAAATTTAATAATGTTAAAAAGGGTGACATTTTGATTTGCCAATCCTGGCAAATCAAAATGTCACCCTTTCATAGTTTAATTCATAGATTAGTAATGTTTCCACTGAGCCCAGAGAATTTTAAAAAAGAGTTAAATATTATTAAACAAATCGCCATCAACAATGGATATAAGTGTTCCCTTATTGATAATATGCTAAAGAAAAAACAAAACAAAATATTAATGAAAATTTTTTATTCCGCTAATTCTAAAGACAATAGCAATTATCGACTTTTAAACTACATTCCTAATTTAACTAACAAAATATCAAATAATCTCAATAAAATAGGATGTAAAACTATTAACGTAAATAAAAGAAATGTAGGTCAAATTTTATTAAATAATAAAGACAAAACTAATGTCAAAAATAAGTCGGGTGTCTATAGGGTGGATTGCAATGATTGTGATGCCGTGTACATAGGCCAAACAGGTAAAAATTTAGATATAAGGATTAAAGAACATGTAAAGCCTATTAATAATCTCCAGCATAGTTCTGGTCTTGTAACTCATTGTATAGTAAATAATCACAAAATTAATGAAAACTCAATTAAGTTACTACACAGAGAAACAAAAGGCAGACGCTTAAATTACCTTGAACAGTTAGAAATACTAAAATCTGTTAAAAACGAAAATAATGTTAACGACCAACAAGGATTTCTAAACACATTTTTTATTACCCCTATTGTAAACTCTCTGAACCCACCCCCATAGCAAATATATATATAGTTACAGTGTAGTTAGACGATTAGTTCTTAAAAAACTCTTGAAAAAGGCCTAACAAGCCGAAACATATATGTAGAGTTAAAGTTACTCTTATTAAAAGTTTTTTGACACATCTAAAAGCGTGCTTTATTAAAATACTAATACTCATAGATTTTTTGGAAGCCCTGGGTGGTAATTTTTTTATTTATTTTAAGATTATCTATGTAAAAATGAAATGTTTTATCATAAAAAACACTTTCTTTCTAATTACTCCTATAAAATATATTTAGTTTTTTTGCTTCACAAAATAATAATCCAATTTCTTTAGCAAAAATATGATCAATTGAGGAAAGCTGATTCAAATTACAAGAAAATGTCTATATCAGTTAAAAATCAGAAATATTATGATGCAGTGCAGGAAATAATGCAACCAGTGCATAGTTCTCTTTTGCCTCTTCATACGCCTAAGACTTGGGAAGATATCACAGCACAGTTTTTAGCTACGTTTTGGTCGCTAACCATGTATGATTTGTTTGTACCTGAAGAAACCTATCAACAAGCTATTAATAAAGTTAAACAGCAATCAGTAGCTGCTATGGAAGCGACTACCGGCAATAAAGGTATGTGTATTGAATATAACTGTGCATATAGTTTTAATAGAAGAAAGTTAAGTAATATATAACAAAGCACAAATAAGTAAATAACCTAGGGTGTCATTCTGTAAACTGTACAAAGAAATGTTTTGCTAGTGACTCACACTTACTCGGCTTTCTTCACGAAAATATTTTTTTATCATAGTATAGGTGCCAAAAATGTGTCTAGTTTATTTGTTTTTACACGGATTTGTGACACAAAATCAAGACCCGCTTCGACACAAAGATAAAAAACCTAATATTTCTCTCATTTTTAGAAATAAATACACATAACTTTATATCATTGGAAAGGGTTAAACACCAGCATTTTTTAAGTTCATAGCCAACTATGATATCTATTTAAAAAGTTATATTTTTTTATTATTTCTGACAAAAAAAGCAAGTATAGAAAAAAACCTGACTACGCCACTGAATTGTGCTTAAAAAAGTGCCTTAAGAACTTTTTTACAGAATTTTATTATTACGCGAAATACAAAAGTTATGGGCAATTTTCCAAATGGTAAAAAATAGTGAAAATATCAAGAGACGGTTTACGCCAGAGAATAGGTACATTAAAGAAATGCTAACTTCATGTTAAAAATTGGAAACAGACGCCACCTGGTGTAGCCTGGCAGTACTAGTTAAATTGAGGGGAATTGGAGGGGCGGGGCTTAAAAGAGAGGAAATTTTTTAAAAAAATATTTTTATAAGTGTCACTGATTTACTGTTTAAAGTTAATAAACATATTTTTTATTACTTTAATATAATTTAAAGTATTAAAAAATATGTCTATTAACTTTACACAGCAAATCAACGATATTATTAAAAACTTATTATTTTCAGAGAAAATTCATAGTAAATAAATTACACATTTAGTAAACAATATCATTTATTTTTTAGAGCTGCATTTATATTACAATAATATTGAAATATATATATTTTTTAACAATGAAAAAGAATATCCCGGAACCTGAAAACGAAAGATGATCAATTAATGACTTAAATTAGTTCAAAATACATTTTGCAAATAACTAGTGAATTGAAAAGATAAACATACTATTAAAAATACATTTTAGTAGTATGTTATCATCTATTTACTGATAATACATAAGTATATAATAGGTAAATAACATGCATAAGGCACTATGATACAACTACCTAGTAGTTGTATCACAATAACACACTAATATCACAAAAAATATGTGCTAATTTAAATTCCTTTAATGATCTAATGAAACACTATCTAGCCTTAATGCATGCCATTCCAAAGGCAAAAAAAACTATTATACCAAATAAATATAAGCTAACAAAGCCAACGAAACGCATAAACAACCAAAAAATGCATCAAAAAATAGTTTTATCAGATCATCCCGTTCAAATGTTTACTAACTCAAAATAGAGAATATAGAGAACATTGTCAAGAGAAGTAAAAGAAAGTTTAAGTTAAGGCAATATGCTCCTTTTTGCATACATTAATGGCCAAATAATATAATGTTGATTTAATAGAATTTTACTGGCATCCTTCTGAGGTATAAATCAGATTAAAGGACATTGTTTTTGTAATAATTGTTTGTTTTGTAAACATTTTTTGAAGACAATACAGTTTTGAACGGGCTGTGCGATATAAACAAGGATCTTACTATTATTTGAGGTTAGAAAGTATTTAAATAACATAAAACATAATCAAAATCATTTTTCATCATAAATTATAGAGGTACTTACGTGTTTTGATATTATTTATCAGGAAATAATACGTTTAGTTAAACAGGTACGTTGCCAGGCAAGTTCTATCCAAGAACGGTAAACTAATAGGATTGCTCATCCTCATAAGACGTGCGTTCGCCTCTTCCCGCGCTTCAGCTGACAGTTGTCACGTCACTGTAGTCCTTGTCATGATAGTGTGTATTCTAGTTGCCTATGGTAAACTTATCAAAATAACAGCTGAGAAATTTTGAGTTAATTATTTTGTCAATTTTAAATGTGAAAAAGGTGTTATTAAAGTTTTTAGAGCTATAGAGTGTATAAATACGTTCATTTTGTGTTGTGGATTGTGACAAAGTGCTTACTAAGTGCCTACGATATTGTTTATTAATTATTTTAAAGCAAAATATGGAAGTACTCTAAAAAGAATGCTTGCGAAAGGTGATGCTGGGAACTGCTGTTCTTAAAAATGCATTATCCGAGTATTTAATACGATTTATACAATTAATTTTCTATACTGCATACATATAAGGTGTTTAAATAATTAAACTAAATAATGAACGTTTTACATTCGGCAACCAATAATGCACGTGTGTGTATTATTGGTTGCCGGATAAGGACTAATAACCAAATACATTTTAATTAAAATATACTGCGGCCTCCCCATAAGAGCAATGAGAGAATTCATGTCCCAGGATTGAAGGACAGAAGATCGAGTTTGACATAAGTCCATCCTTGTTCAGTAGATGGATGTAATGCACATGCGCCGAAATGCTACTTTTCTATTGGCCGAATGGTGTCGAGATGGGTTATCGATTTATTTTTGGACGCGTCGTCGGCGTTTTGTTTTCAGTTTGGACTTGGGCAGTCGCCATTAGTGTTTTCTCTAACTTTCTGTGTTTTCCACGTGTACTGTGTTTTCGTTTGTATTTTAATCTTTGTGCGTTTATTGACAATTTTGTGATTTAGTTTTAAAGACTTTTGCTGTAGTTTAATTAATAGAACAATGCGAATGGGCTACTGCTTTTTGTGTGGTAGAAGCCAACTAACCAAATTAATAATAGAAATTTTTCTCGATGTTCGTTTGTTTCATGAAAGCAAAATCAGAAATGAAAGGGATGTTAATATAAGACAAAAATATACGAAACTAATTTTATTCAAAAATCAATAATTGTTAAAAGCATTATATTTAGTCTTACTATTTTAAAATAAAAATGACATTATAATGTAAAGACTAAAAATAGAGACTACATAAGGCTAATTATAATGCTTACACAGTTACACACAAACTGTCTTATTGTAAATTATTATTGTTTTTTTTTCATAATATAAAAGAGTATTTACAATGCAACAATGTAAATAATTATATTTTTTGTATCTAGCTTGATTTATGTATAAACTTAATATGTACATACTTTTAGTTATATTTGTTTAATAAAAAATATGTTAATAATAAAGAATTACTTTTGTTTCATTTTAAACCAGGACTGATGTTGATTATTGATCATAAATACATGGGCAGTAAAAGAAACAATAGACAGTAAAAAATGTACTGTTATACTTTGTTTTGCTGCAATTTTTAAGTCGAGTGAAATAGATATGCAATTTGTAATACTAAGTTCTTAAGACAGTTCCTTAATTGAGGTTTTACTAAATTATTTTTTGAATTTTAAAAAAAGTGAAATAGATATGCAATTTGTACTACGAAGTTTTTAAGACAATTTCTTAATAATTGTGGTTTTACTAAATTATTTTTTGAATTTAAAAAAAAAATATCGTACCTGTCACTTTTTTTCATTCGTTTTATTTAATAATAATTGTCTAACACAACAAAGTCTACTTAGAACGATATGATATAAATATAAATGAGTTCATTAAAAAATGGTCTGATTAAAATTAGTACCTAAATAAGCAAAAATTATCCCCTCATAAAACAAGAAATTAAGGAGTTCAGTAAAAGGATTGCAACTATATATTTTATTCAGTAAATTTTCATAATAGTAAGTATAAAAGCACAATCTCTAAAACGACAATATGAATAATGTATATTAAGATTTAACTCGAGTTTCAGTGAAAAAACTATATTGATATTAAAATATTTTAATACCTTCAGAATACTAATTACATACCATAAAATAGGAGTTTTTACGATGCGGAAGCCTATCTAGAAAAAGAATTTTAGAAATCAGCAATGGGATTCTGTAAGCTCTGTAGCAAGAAATTTCCTATCGAGCCTATGCTATTTGTATACGATTGATGAGTCACTAGACAGGGAAATGTTTACAGAATCGCACTGCAGATACCTATTACGCTACTAGGAGCCCCCCATTGTGAGACAGATATAAAATAATTTTTATATACCTATTCCATAGCCTATTTTTTTAAATGTCTGTAATATTTATAATAAACTTATTTTAACGAGTAGAAGTATTGCACCAGCATCAAAATTAACACTACTTGTAAAAAACTGTTGCTCCTTGAGTTTGTAATAGATATAAACAAAATAAACATTCGAAAATAACTAAATCGAAGATATCTGAAAACTTTTGGTTGAAAAAGTGTTTTGCCATAACATGTTGGATACGATTAAAATATCTCAATTGATAAATATGCGCATAATGTTACATTATCAAACTTATTTGATTTCAGAATATTTAACAAAAACTTCCAATTTTTCGAAAGATTTAATTCAATTATTAGAACGTCTTTAACCTCAACTTAAAATAAATAAAACCAAAACAAAACATATCATATGATTTGGAACTGTCCAATCAAAGTGCTTACAGATCGAGCAAGCGCAGAAAACCTCCTCCCGAACAAGGATAGACTTATGTAGGAAATGCATTGACATTCTATAGCCATCCTTCAACATCGGGACAGGAATTTAAGCGGTACTCTCCGTATATTTTATTAAAACGTATTTGCTAATAACCATGACAAGGACTACAATTACGTCACAAAGCGAGTAGTTTTCGCATGCACCTGGCGGACACTTTTGGCTGAATGAGCAGTCCTATTAGGTTAACTGTTCTTGAGTTCTATCTTGAAATCTAAAAATACAAAAATACGTTTACATCTCAGTTGTATTTACGAATAAAGTATTTGTGTGTAATTTCTGACTTACCAGTTAATTGAATAATCGCATTAAATACATCCAAATGGTAATTTAATATTGTAAAAAAGCAAAATTGTTTTAAATCACTTGCCAGGACAGCCGGCCAGCTTCTTTCATGCTTGTTTGTTGGCAAAATGGCCGCGGTATCATGATTTAAGTAATGTGAGTGACAAAGAAAGCCAATGCCTGGCAGATGTTGCTTTCTTTGTCGTTTATCCTGGCACGTTTAAATTTGACTGTTGCCTGTTTTCCCATACAAGTGACACCCCCGTGGTTTACGCCATTAGACGTGTCTCAGAAATCGAGCCCATGACATTTATGTCGGTTTTGCTCTATCTAGTCAGGAAATAGGTTTTCTCGGTTAAAACAGACCAATTTCGACCACCCTGTACATTAATGTGATTACCTTTTAGGGAAAAAAGAACAAGAACGATTTCAGTCATTGATAGAAAAATTACAGGACGAGAAAAAGAAACAAACGGAGCATGTAGATAAAGTTATGTTTAGATTGAAACAAGAAAAGGACTTTTGGTTTCTATCCAGAACAGGAAAATCAGCTAAAACAGAATCCATTACAAGATTCTTACAATTATGTTTGTTTCCAAGATGTACTTTCACTCAAATTGATGCTGTATATTGTGCTAAATTTGTCCATACAATTCATATGTTAAAAACTCCCAATTTTTCTACATTATTGTGCTATGATAGAGTAAGTTGTAACAAATAATAACTAATAACAATTATATAGTTCCTGGCATTTGTCACTTTCTTAAAAAATATATTTGTAGTTGTTTTGTGATGTCACATATTCTATAATATCATGTACTGAAAATGAAGCAATGAGATATGGAAGGTTTTTGTATGCAATGTTAGAAACTGTGATGAGATGGCACAAGTCAAAAGAGGTATTTGAGAAAGAATGTGCAGATTATCCTGGTTTTGTTACCAAATATAGGTTGGTTAATAATTACTTTGTTTCTTTTTATTTTTAATAATTATTCTTTTAGAGTTAGTAACCATACCGCTGATAGCCTTGATAATGTTGGTTATGAGAATTATCGCCATGTGTGTCATAAATGGCATTATAAACTAGCCAAAGCAGTTGTGACGTGTTTAGAATCTAAAGATTACGTTCAAATACGAAATTCACTTATTATTTTAATTAAGATTATTCCATTTTTTCCTGTGCTAATTAAATTGGGTAAGTAATTATTTCTATCGTAATAATAATTAATATGTGTATAGTATGTCGAATTTTACGGTAAACGCGAATTTTCGAAGTTACCCAATAGCCTAAGAACTGACGACATATTTAGAGAACATATTTTAGGCAAGCTAGAATAACTAAAAGTGTATAGTTTTTTAACTGGTGAACCCAGAATCCTAAGTCTGGCTGGGGGGTTGGGGCTATTTCGCTACTGCGCAACCAATAACATTTGCAAAAAAATAAATCCAAAAAACATTTTTTAGGCAACTTGAAATTTGTTTATTCTTAAATTTTAGCATCTATTTAACCTAGAAATAAGTATGCCAGACTTTTTTTTCGGGTGTAAAGTGTAACCCGACCATTCCAAATATGTTTAATTATTATACCTGGAAAACATGCTTTAGGCATTCTAAAATTTTTACAGCGTGTTTATTAGATGATATTAAAAAATATGTGTTAATTGCCGGACGAATTCAATGGGATTTAATACTTGCCTGACACGAATAAAGATTTTAAATGAGCGCGATAAGAAAGTCTTATGAGTATCTACGAGCCCTAACAACTATAAGTTGGGACAAGGTCTTTTTTGCAATAAAAATAGTAATTTGTTAAAACGACTCAATTTATTTTGTTTATTATTCTAAATTCAAACATTACAATATGATCTAGACAATTTTACTATATTTATATAACTTTGCTAACAAATCACTTTTGATAATAGCTTATTTTGCCAAAATCAAGCCAAATTTGCTGACAACTATATATTGGGACAGCACAACAAGAAATTTGTTTAATATGGAGTTACATCACCTTTCGCCTTAACAACTGCCTGAACTCTTAATGGCATTGTATTTACCAAAGATTGGCACATTTGAGAAGAAAAATTATCCCAAATTTCCTGCAGTTTTGTCCGCAAATCAAAAATTGTTCGTTGAGGGTGGTTTCTTAAATATTGCTTCATTTTATGCCACACAGTTTCTATAACATTGAGGTCCGGACTACTTGCAGGATAGGATAGAACTTTTATATTATTATTACCGAACCAATTTTTAGTTGATTTTGCTGAATGGCACGATGCTCCATCTTGTTGCAAAATATAGTCTTCGTTTGGAAACAATTCTTGAGCACTAGACAAAAGTGAGGTCTCAAGTATATGTTGATATTTTTGGTTGGGAGTTAACAGTGCCATATATAAAATTTAATTTGCCCAAACCTCTTGCTGACATGCAACCCCAAACCATAATCCCCTTAGGAAATTTAACAACCCTCTTTAAGCAATCTCTATGAAAGGCTTCTGCTTTATTTCGTATTATTCGTTTTCGATAATCTCCAACGCAAACATCAAATTTAGACTCATCACTAAATATGACCTTATTTCAATCATTTTGTGTTAATGTGATAATTTAGATTTTGCCCAATTGTAGCGATTTTTCTTTTGAATTTCTGTCAGTAGCGGTTTTTCTTTGGCCTAAATAAGAATTTGTATCAATAATCTTCAGGTAATTGATTATCCACACAAAATAAAGTTTACCTTGTAAAACCCCAGACCACATTTATGGATATATTTTCGGCAACATTCTCTTGATATATTTAAACCAGTTACAGTATTCCATTTAACTGATAGTTCGCGAAGAGTACTTCTTCTCGCAGACTTGCAAATTTTTACTAAATTTCGTAAATCTCTTTGAGATACAACCTTTGGCCTTCCCGAACTTTTACCTCTAACGTCTACATTGGCAGATTCGCCGTATTTTTTTTATTATATTAAAGACCGTGGTTTTTGGAATACTTAAATCATCAGAAATTTTTCGAATTGTTTTTCCCGTACTGTATTGACGAATGATAATTTCGCGTAGTTTTTGATTTGTAGCTTTTCCACGGACCATTACTTTGAATTAAATAATTAACAAAATTAAAAATTAAAAAAATTAAAATTACTGACAGTAAATCTCACTACTCAAAGTATCGAGTCACTTACAAGCTGTCATTGCTGAAGGAAACAGTTTGCGACATTTGTGACGTTTATAGCAAAGCCGCCTATGATGATATTAATTATTTAAAAATACTTGTCCCAACATTTAGTTGTCAGCAAATTTGTCCTTTTATGAACAAAATCCGCTACAGTAAATATGGATTGATTTACAAATTCATAAAAATATTGTCAAGTTGTTTAGGATATATGGCTATGTTTATATTTAAAAAATTAAACATATATTTTTCAGTCATTTTGAAACACCAGGGCAATAATTCCAAAATATAACCTTATCCCAACATATAGTTGTTAGGGCTCGTACCTTTATTTTATTCTTAGAAACACAAAATGTAATAATATAGAGGGTTCTATTTAGAAAATTCAACGTTAATGTTCGTTTATTTGGTGTACCTTATAAAAATATAGTTTGCAATACAACCCTGTATATATATTTTAGCACAGTTCTTGGAGAAAAGAATCGAAAAGGTTAGAGATGAGGAAAAAAACAATAGACAGGATTTATTTACTTTATCAAGTAGTTATCTTGGACATTTAAAACAACGATTAAATGGAGGCCATATGATGAAAGAAGGAGATTTTCATATACCAGTTGAGAAGGAAAAGGTTTGATACAATACTTTGATATACAGGATGTGGCGCAGCTATTCACCTCGGCTGATAATACGAAAACGGAAAAATGTCGAAACAATGTTTTTTATGGGTATATGTGGGGAAAGAGAAAAAAATATAATTTTGGTATGGATCTTAGTTCTGACACACCCTGTACATTTCAAAATAATTTTAAATTATGCACATTGCCTTCCTACATGTACCCATAAAATATTTTGTTCCTACATCTTTCCGTTTTTGTATAATTAACCGAGGCGAATGAGGTGCGCCACCCTGTATTTTTTTGTACTTATATGAGTTTGGTTCGAGGTTAGGTTATTACCCGTTCTGAAACCTCCAAAAACGGCGAGGCGGATGTGTAGAATAAAAATTTGACGCTCATTTTTTATCACAAGCTGGTAAAGAATTTCTTATTGAGCACTTTTAAAAAGTATGTTTTTTCTTCTAAATAGCACTAATAAACTCTAATAAAAATAGAGTGGTAAAAAAGTGAAATACTTACCTACCACCATATTTAATTTCCCTTTTTGCAGACCTTTTTATCGACGTTTACTATTTCTTATAATAACAAACATCCGCGTTTAATAAATTTAAGTGTTCTTGCGGAATTGTAAAATAAAATAGCATATTTTGAAATTTTGACTAGTTATACCACAGATTATACAGATTATAAACTTTGTTTTTTCTTTATTGTTTTTCGTGGTTCCAGTTTTCGGAATCGGGCACTAGTTAGGTTACTAGTTTGCGCACATAGCATGCCCATTTATGGCCTGTAAAATTGTGCACAGCGCCTGACCGGCACAGTTATTAGAGAGATATCGGAAAACCGAATAGCGTTATGCAGTATTTACGCGTACCTTATCATGGTTACGATATGCGCGAGTCAAATTTTTTAACGCAACACCCGCTAATAACGTTACCGCCTGACGTAATTTGCGGATCAATTACACTAAGGGCTATTTCTAAATAACGTTTAAAAATTGCTGAAATGGGCATGTGCGGGTATTTAACAACCGGGGCCGGCCGGCGAGATCTTTTATTTTAGGTTATGTTTGAATTGTTTTGAATTATTACTTTAGTTTTAGTAGGTAATTTGATATTTCCTTTGAATAAGAAGACTAAGGAAGGAGCATATCAAAAATCTTAGGTACACCGCGATGGGCCTCAAATATGGCCGGTTTATCAGTGCCGTTCTAATTTTATTTAAAAAATGTAAAACTATGATGTAGGGTAGACGTGGGGTAGACTCAATAATTTGTTATTTTATTTTACGTTGTGAATAAATGTTGGTAGTTATTAAAATTGTTATAAAAATATATAATTCTAATAAAAATAGATAAGTTATAATAAGTATTTATTAACACAAACATCCGATACGCTACTAACGCAGGTAAGTCAAATTAACGTATCAAAATTCTTTGACATCTGATCTTTGACAAGTAGTAAATAAAAGCTAAAATGTAAGAAAATATATACTAATTTAGTTAATTTAAGTGAATTTCATAAATGATCGGTTTACTACACGTATGTATATTATATAGTCACTTACTAGCGAAAAGTTGTTCCATTATTTCACTCAATTTTTGCCGAGATCTACCGCACGCTACACAACCAACTATTTTAGAGTCTTTTTCGATAAATCGCGATAACGTCACTGTTAATTTAAGTTCTGCCACAATTTCCATCTAGATTTACTACCTTTATACAACTATAAGTAGTAGAATAAATAATAAATAACATAAAATAAGCTCCGTAAAGACTGACAAATCCACAAAATTTCAAATCAAATTCAAATGTGTCAAATGAATCGTCAAACAGAACTGTCAAGGATCCCCACCCTAGAGAGCTTTTTCCGCCCACCATGCATGAATACATGGATAGCATTATGCTCCTTCCTTAGTCTTCTTATTCAAAGGATATTTAAGTAGCTGGGATTAGTTTTAATTAAATAAATATAGCCCAAAATATGGATTCCACCTCTTCCAATATTAAAGAACCTATAAAGAGGTTTAGGTTTACAGCAGATGACGACTTAGCCCTTCTAAGAGAATTTGTTGCTTGTTGCCCTAAACCCACTGGCAGACGTTGAACAATAAAGCACTGGAAATAAGCACTTTAGCCCTGTAGTTTTAAAATACCTAGTGAACAAAACAATTTCAAAGTTTTAAATTCAAAGTTAGGTTAAGTTTAAATAGCGGACGCGACGCGAACAGAATTCTTTCCGATCCGATAACTATAAATGAAGAGAGTTAATACCACGTCACGTAAAGGAAATAACACCTGGCCTTATTAACGTCCATGCACGCTATTCGGTATAGCGATATCTCTCTATTACGCTGTTTATTGTTATTTTAGGCGAGTTTATTTTTGCGCACAGGAAATTTTACTCGTTTGCACACCGTCATAAAAAACAATTTTCGTACCACGAATTAGGGACAAGATTTTTATCTGTATACTTATGGGATACCTAATCTGTGCCCGAAGTGAACGACCATATCTTATTATTTTTGTTTATATTTATAGATTGAAAAGAATCAGCAAGATATTGTATATTCTAATGGCAAGGACACATCAAAATACAACGATCCTAAAGGTTTTATAATTGTTCGACGTATTAAAAACTGCATATTTAATTTTTATAATTTTTTAGAAGTTGCAATGAAAGAAAAAATTGAAAAGAAAAATAGTCGTCAAAATCCAGAAGAACCAAAAGTAACGAAACATCAAAATGCCGCTTCAGAGTCCACCACAACTTTGTAAGTATTATAATTCATAAATTTACATATATTCATCTGCTGGCCGCATATTTTATTATTATTATTATTATTTTATAGGTTGACGAAACGCGAAGAGAAATTATCTCGAGAGGATGTAAAAGAAAAATATATACGAAAAGAAGAAAAACGTTTAGATGATAGTGAAAAGGAACGAGAAAAAAGACGTGAGCGAAAAGAAGAAAAAGTTAATAATACCAAGGAGGAAAGGCGAGAGAGAAGTCAAGAACAGAGGGTAAATTTTATTATATAACATATATACGAAATATTTTGATACACCTAATAAAAGTTGAAGGGATTTGTAAAATCTATCAAAAAAAAATAATATATAGGGTTGTTCACCACATACGACACGGAGTATTGTAGCTAAATAATTAGATTTTTACAAATTGTAAGTTTTTGCGGTTCGTTGAAAGACTATTAGAGCTACAATTTAAAAATATTTTTATAAGATACAGAGTGTCCCAAATAAATAAAAAATATCAAAGTGGTATTTTTTTAAACGGAACACCCTGTATATTATTACATTTTTAGTTTCTACGATTAAAATAAAGGTAAATTTGATTAAGGTTTATTACACTTAAACCATACCGTTTTTGAAATATTTTCAATTTTGTGAAATTGCAGTAAAAATGTTAAAACTTCGTTTCTTCAAGGGTATCAAAGTTTTTAATACTAAATATTTACTGAAGTCTATTGATCAGTTATTTTGTTGCAATAATAAAAATATTACTACCTCATACAGAGTGTCAAAAAATTTATTTTAAATTATTTCTAGCTTTAAACGGCAATAACTTGTTTAATTTAAAGGTAACGCCCTATATATTTTAGGAGAATCAGATGCACAATTTAATTGTCTATCAAATTATATTATACCACTTTTTACCTATTCCTTCAAGTTTTCGTAGAAAATGCATTTTCTTATAATTTAGACCTCATTTATCAGTATACCCATGGAATATTGACATTTTAGATTGTTTTTAAAGCAATAAATGTACAAAATGTACAGGCTAGTAATATTATCGTTTTTAGCAAAATGATAATATTACTAGCCCATTTGTAAGCAAAAAGAAAACTATTTAAATCTTTATAAAAGAGTATACCAGTAATTAAATATACCAGCATTATTTCCACCCAAATACTAATTAATTACATACTTAATTATGTTCGTTAATAAATTATTCCAAATAAATGTGGATTTGAATCAGAAATCAATATAATAATAAGTTATGGAAATGAATGTCTGTGTTGTTATAAATAAGCATTTGTCAAAAAATGAAATATAATTTTTAAGGTGTTACTTTTTACCACACTGTCTAATACACATACAAAATTCAGTTTTGTAGTAGTTGGAGCAATTATTATTAATCAACGCAAACAGTCAATTAATGTAGTTTGAATACTGGAATCATATTAATTGGTCCTCTTTAACAAATATTTAAACAGTTTTTTTTTTATTTCTTAATGAAATAAACAAACTATATCGACAATATTAGTATCTGTACTCTTTAAAAATTTGGTATATCTTTAAAAATAATCTAAAATGTCAATATTCCATGGGTATATTGATAAATGAGGTCTAAATTATAAGAAAATGCATTTTCTAGGAAAACTTGAAGAGGTAGGTAAAATATGGTATAATACAATTTGATAGATAATTAAATTGCGCATCTGATTCTCATAAAATATACAGGGTGTTCCATTTAAATTAAACATCTTATTGCCGTTTAAAGCTAGTAATTATTTAAAATAAATTTTTAGACACTGTATAAGGTAGTATAATTTTTATTATTGCAGCACAAAATTTAGAAAATAGAAATACTTCAGCACAATATTTGGGTTAAAAACATAAATACGCCAAATTATTACTGTATTTTGACAAAAACCCAAATATTTCAAAAACAGTAAGGTTTAAGTGTTATAAACCTTAATCAAATTTACCTTTATTTTAATCGTAGAAACTAAAAATGTAATAATATACAGGATGTACCATTTAAAAAAATACAACTTTGATATTTTTTATTTATTTGGGACACTCTGTATCTTGTAAAAATATTTTTAAATCGTAGCTCTAATGGTCCTCCAACGAACCAAAAACTTACAATTTGCAAAAATCTAATTGTTTAGCTACAATACTCCGTGTGGTATGTGGTGAACAACCCTGTATAATGTTTACCACCTTTTATCCCAAGTAAATGTTTTTTAGCTGTTTAATTTACTTAATTTGATATCGTAGGAAATTAGATATATTGAAGTGTTAAGTCCCAAAGAAGATCACTATGGAAATGAACGGCAAGATAGGTTTTACGATGAAAGGAGTTACTATAGAGATGACAGAGATGGCAGTTCAATAAGTCTGGTTAGACATAGTCAGGAACCAGAGCCAGATAGAGGTAATGTAATAAATTTGTATTTGCTATTTGATTAAAATAAACTTTAAAACAACCGGTTGTGTGTAACAACACTTTGTTCAGCAATCATTCAACGTCACGTCATATTATATTGTCGAACTCCTTCTTTTACTTTAGTCCAGTCCAAGAACGGTAAACTAATAGGATTGCTCATCCTCATAAGACGTACGTTCGCCTCTTCCCGCGCTTCAGCTGACAGTTGTGACGTCATTGTAGCCCTGACGTCATTCGTGGCCTTGTCATGATAGTGTGTATTATTAGTTGCCTATGGTAAACTTATAAAAATAACAGCTGAGAAATTTTGAGTTAATTATTTTGTCAATTTTAAATGTGAAAAAGGTGTCTTTAAAATTTTTAGAGCTATAGAGCGTATAAATACGTTCATTTTGTGTTGTGGATTGTGACAAAGTGCTTACTAAGTGCCCACGATTTTGTTTATTAATTATTTTAAAGCAAAATATGGAAGTACTCTAAAAAGAATGCTTGCAAAAGGTGATGCTGGGAACTGCTGTTCTTAAAAATGCATTATCCGAGTATTTAATACGATTTATACAGTTAATTTTCTACACTGCATACATATAAGGTGTTTAAATAAATAAACTAAATAATAAACGTTTTGCATTCGGCAACCAATAATGCACGTGTGTGTATTATTGGTTGCCGGATAAGGACTAATAACCATGACAAGGGCTACAATGACGTCACAAAGCGAGTAGTTTTCGCATGCACCTGGCGGACACTTTTGTCCTATTAGGTTAACTGTTCTTGAGTCCAGTCATTTGGTTCCTGGAAAGTTTTCCGTGAGTTTTGAAAATTGGTTATTTTATAGATTTTGATGTGCTCTTGATCTCCGGTTAGAGAGAAGATAGAAAGTTACAGTTTGAGCTAATATTTTGGAAATGTGCTCTATTTAACTGTGTAACGAGAAATATAGCCTCCTATTTAAATTTTTTATGCAAAAGCGCAATACCTGTTATGATGTCAAACAGCGCCCTCTAGCTACCACGAAAAAAATTATGGAAACAAAATTTATACTGGAGATCATTAAGGAAGAAAAGCTCTTTTAAACGAGCCCTAGATTGTTTAAATCGGGTAACCCAAACCACAGAGTTATCCTTATTTTAATAAAAGCAAGTTTAACGTGATAGAGCAAAATACTCTATATCAAAAAAATTACAAATTTCTCGATGATTACAATAGTAATATTTAAAATACCTGTTCACCTGCATATTTTTGAGAAAACCCCTGTTTTCTGATTGGCTATCAGAGAAACGCCCCCTAGCGGACATTTTTCGAACTTGAAAATAATTTCCAGCGATTTCTCTTGGTCGATTTAATTATTATAATTTTTTTCCCAAAGTTATACGATAAGTAGTTTCTGAGATACAGCCGGACTGGCGTCCATTCTTAGTTGGCCATCCGGTACAATAAAAAAATGACATAATTAGAATCATTATTCCAGATAATGGCACATATGCTAAAATTTTTATCTAGATGTATGTTTTTATCTACATACATTTCTTACTCGTGTAAAATTTAGAAGTAATATGTGAAGTTAATGTTCATGTCAGGTAATCATAAAATCATTCTTACGTTATTCCCGTATATGTTAGTAAAATGTAATTCTCTTTCTTGTTAGATTATATTACTCTAATTAGGATTTTATTTTTAATCAATCGAGAGTGGCTTTACAAGTTTCCGGTTTTTTTCAATCATATTTTCTTCTTTATTTATTCTTATTTTTGTAAAAAGGTTTATTTACCTAACATGTATTTGTTATCAATCATATACTAAAGTACACTACTTAATTTATTTGAATTTAATAGGACGCCGATGGAGAGCGGTGTTTACTTTATAGAAAATGGCCCCATATATTTTTTACAATTTTCGATGCTGAAAAATACAAAAATAAAATAATACTATAGTTAGTTGCTTGCGAAATTGATTACCTGTCGCTATAATGCTTTTGTTCATTATATTGCGGGAAGTAGCATTATATTTTAATTTTTAAAGAAATATCAAGGAATGACGTATTGTCTTTAGCGGCTCATATTTATGTGTATTGCAACATAATATATTTTATTGTGTGTAATATACATATATGGGATAGGTTTATCCACGAAGTTTATAAGATCTAAGACTAGGACATACAAAGTGTTTACGCAACTGGTGTCTTAACATTTCTTTGGATTTAATCCAGATACAAATTTGAATGGTTTAAGTTAAGGTTATTTCTAGATTTTCTTTAAATATTTTCCGATATTCTTTCGTCAATATAATATGATTTTATAAACCCGAAGTTAAATCAACGTACAGGGTGGGTCAAATTCGACGCTTTTAAACGAAAACACCCTTTTCTATAGGAAATAGACAAAAACTAATATCGGTGTCTGGAGCTCAATTTTTGTCAAAAACATGGTGGTGAAAACCTGTTACCGTTTCGGAGTTACGGGGTGTTTTTCAAAAATATGCATTTTTAACAAATCGCTGTAACTTTTTTGCTATGGAAAATTTTGTATTTTTATGAAAACATTTCCAAAGCACCTTTTTACGTAGAATTTAATGGTTTAAGTATAATTTTTTTAAAATTAATAATTAAAGAATTATGAATAGAAAATTTGATTTCTTATACGAGACACCCTGTATATTTTTAATTTATTGAAAAGAATTTAAAATTACCTTTCTAAAAATATAACACACTTGATATTTTGCTCGATTCCTCTTCAAGATATAGAGTAGGCTTTGAACGGCACCAGCTGTAATGCAAAAAAATTCTAGCTGTGAGAATCAGTTAAAACGAAAATAATATTTGCTATGAGAGATGCAGAATTTTATAACAATTTAAAATATATTTAACCAATCAACATATTTAAACTATATCTAATAACAATAAAAATAAATAGCAAACCAAGACATGAGATTTTGCTACAGGTGTTCGACATATCGACCGTGTTCTGTTAAGGGCAGACGGGGCCGTTTTTGAACATTTCTCGCGGAATTCATTAACTCAGTAGGGGTGAAAGATACCCTCTCATAACTGCTAAGTATTTCTAATTCTTGTCTAGATTATACGGAAGAATAAGGAACCTATAATAAGAACGCAAATATATCCATAGGATTAGATCCATGGGCACTAAGTCAGGCGGCCTCGACGGCCAACGGCTGGGATCTTGGTTAGCTATTCAATTATTCTTGAAATTGGCTGCAAAAATTTGCTGATAACTTCAGTGTTCTGAGGCGGTGCGTCGTCTTGCTGGAAAAATATGTTTTCGAGTTCCATTAAGGGCATATCATCAATAAGGGGTCCAAAGCCTACTAGTTAAAAGTGACGAACTTTTAAAAATCCTGTATTTCGAAGGAGATTATAACAAAATATCAAGTGTGCTATATTTTTGGAAAGGTAATTTTAAAATCTTTCCAGTTAATTAAAAATATAGAGTGGGTGTCCCAAATAAAAAATAAATTTTTCTGTTGATAACTCTTAAATTATTAATTTAAAAAAAAATATACTTAAACCATTAAATTCTACGTAAAAAGGTGATTAAGAAATGTTTTCATAGAAATACAAAATTTTCCATAGCAAAAAAGTTACAGCGATTTGTTAAAAATGCACATTTTTGAAAAACACCCCGTAACTCCGAAACGGTAACAGATATTGATGTGCGGTTTTCACCATCATGTTTTTGATGAAAATTGAGCTCCAGACACCGATATTAGTTTTCGTCTATCTCATATAGAAAAGGGTGTTTCCATTTAAAAGCGTCGAATTTGACCCACCCTGTACAGGGTGAGTCAACGATAGAGTAAAGTCCATTATGTCATTTGTTTCGAAAAAAAAAATTAATATAAAATGTATAAGGAAGGTTAAGACGCACATTTTAAAAATATTATAGAGTATACAAGGTGCTTCAAAAAAGTGTGGCGGATATAACATATGTTTTTTAAAATGCAACACCCTATTTTTTACAGTTGAGGGTTGGAACCTTTGGTGTTACACAGCAAAATAAAAACACTAAATCGCCACAATACACCAAAACACTTTTACTTTTACACTGGACGCGCGTTTCGCTAACCATGTTAGCATCATCAGCAGATGATTATAAACTATTATATGTTTTTTTTTTATTTTTTTATTTTACCCTATTTTTTATTGAATTTTTAGATTCTGCGTAAAATTTCATAACTTTTTTATATACAATGTTATATATAGTATTTTTAATACCCATTTAGAATAACACCATCCTTATTTATTATTAATAAATCAGTTGAAACAAAAAATTACCAACAAAAATGAACGTCGATTATTAATAATTTGTTAGATGTCACGTTTTTGAAGTTACATTTCATGTTAATGTCATAACGCAAAATAAGATATAAAAATGCTATATTCTGATGAATCCAAAAAACTTATGCTTAATGTAGTAAACTATTTTCAAAACGATTTAGGATCTCGATTTAAGGCAATTCAAAAAGCATCCGAAGCACTAAAAGTCCCAGAATGCACATTATATAATCTAGAAAAACCAAACAGAGCTACAGATTTCGAATTTAGAAGAAATATGTCTGCAAGCGTTTCCCGGAGCAAAATCCGAATTACTAAGAATACCCTACATTGTTTGAGGGAAGTAATTTACAAAATGTATGCGCGAAAGGATAAAATCACAGTAGAAACTATTTTCCTGCAATTTATCGAAGAGTCTCCAGAAACTAAGATTTCCAAAAGTTCGTTATATTTGGGAATTAAAAAAATGGGTTTTCATTTCAAAAAACGGGATGGAAGAAAACAGTTATTGGAAATGCCTGGAATCAGATTAAAAAGAATATTATTTTTGAACAAATTCCATGCTGCTAAAAGCGAAAAGCTCTTTAAACCTGTTTTCTGTAGAATTTGTACTTAAACGAGCCCTTAAATAAATATTATTACTGCTTGCTCGACTTCTTTATATTATTTATTCTTTATATTATTTATATTATATTATTTA